CTATCCAGAAATCATCGAATATATTAGGATCAGTTACAAAATAGATATTCTCGTTGATATATTTGTTCTTTCAAATCTATACAAAATAATAAATTCTGTTTTTTCTCTGAAAAAACGTTCTGTTTTCCTATTTAAATAGTGATTCTCAGTGTTTTTCTTTCTGATTTAGTCTGATACATATCGCTTTCACATTCTTTTTCCAAAGTTTCAATATTATGAATATTTATTGTATTTACAACAAATGATAATTGACATCTGCCAGAGTTTTGTTAACAAATTGACTTCGCCAGAGGAAGAGAATTTATTATTTTTAATGTTGTTTTTGTTGTAGATTTTCCACAAAAAAAACATACTTTACATTGATATTATTGCGAAGAAGAAAAAAACAGTTGTTGTTTCATAATTATTACTTTTCAGCAGCATATTCAAGATTTTGTAGTCAGCTATTTGAGAATAGCACTGCAAAACAACTTGTTCTTGTTCAATTTTATTAGGGTAAGTGTTAATAAAACAGGATGATTTGTGAATAATAGAGAAAGAGAGAGTTCTCAACTTCAATGAACGACAATATATTTTATTTTGATTATTTTCAGATGAAAATCATCTACAAACTGGATTTTCTCTTTTCTTTCGATTGATTTATAAATAAATATTTTTCATTATTTTATTTTTACTCAAATATTTCTGCATATTATTCAACTATAAGCTTTTGTTCTCAAGTATTATTTAGATATTATTTGTTTTTGTTAAACATTCTAGATTATTGATTGTAATAAGGTATTAATTCAATCTTAAACTTGCACAAAATATTCATGATGACTCGAAATCAAATAGGAGTTTGTGATGTAATATATTTGTTAAATAACGTTTGATTTTTATAATTTATTTAAGGATGAAACAGTTACACCGAATTCTCAACAGACATCAACTGATCGATCAACATTGTTGTATGTGTTTTGTAAATTGTTGAAATTTCTAATCAAAAGAATTGTTTATTCTAGACGCAAATGTTTAAAAAAAAAGAAAATATTATCGGTCATCAATGGGATTATCATTGTTATTTTGATCATAACTATTACAACCGTGATTATTAAAACAAAAACAAAAGCAACGACCCTAACAGAACTATCAACTGTGCCAATAGAAACAACAACTGAAGAATATACGACAACTGAAAAATTTACAACTACAGCAGACAATCCAACAACAGAAGGTATAATATTAATAAAAGAAAAAAAGGCAATATTCTTTTCTTTTTCGGTAAATTACTCAAAATATTTTCATGATATGTTAGTGTTGAATTTATTTTTGAGTATTTTATACGAACAAATAATTTTATTCAGTTTTCTTTTGTTATTTAATATCAATCACTAAAGTTTAATCATCTTTTATCTTCGATTAATCACAAAGATAAATTGTTTTTTTTTCGAAAATTGCAAAGATCTTCGATTGAACCATATATTCACAAATTTAACAAATCTTTAAAAAACATTTACATTGTTTTCTTTTCGAATTTTACAAAAAATGAAGTCAGAATTCTATTCTTTTTGTTCTGACATTTTGATTAAATCGATATTGTTTGATTTTAATTTGATATTTAATCTTTTTTCTTCCTTGTTAGTACAAAGCAAGCCAAAAGGTGACAAATGGAAACAACATGGAATTACTGTTGCTGGAGGAAATGGAGAAGGATCTAAACCCAATCAGCTTTCGGTACCTTATGGGATCTATATTGACGATAGCAAAGCCATCTTGATTGTTGAATTGCGAAATGAGCGTATTGTTGAATGGAAATATGATTCGAACAATGGTCAAATCATTGCAGGCGGAAATGGACAAGGAGTTGAACTGAATCAACTCGATACGCCAATGGACGTAGTTGTTGGCAAAGAGAAGAATGAAATAATCGTATGTGATTCGAATAATTGGAGAGTAATGCGATATTTTGGTCAAAGTCAGACAAACCCACAAATTATCATTCATAAGATTCTATGTCGCGGTCTGGCAATGGACAAAGATGGGTCTATTTATGTTTCTGATATAGCCAAGGCTGAAGTGAGACGATGGAAAGAAGGAGACACAAATGGAACAATAGTTGCAGGTGGAAACAACCCAGGAAATCATCTAAATCAACTATATAATCCTGACAAGATCTTTGTCGATGAAGATTATTCTGTTTATGTAGCGGATAGTACTAATCACCGAATAACGAAATGGAAAAAAGATGCAAAAGAAGGAATTCTTGTTGCTGGCGGAAATGGACATGGAAATCATCTCAACCAACTTGTGAACCCTGGTGGGGTGATTGTTGTTAGTTTGGGTGAAATAATTATTGCAGACACTGGAAATCATCGAATAATGCGATGGTATGAAGGGGACGCAGACGGTTCAATTGTTGTTGGTGGAAATGGTCAAGGTGAAAGATCAAATCAATTATATCATCCCCTTGATCTCTCATTTGATGTTGAAGGAAATCTTTATGTTGCTGATACTATGAATCATCGAATTCAAAAATATGAGTTATGTACGGAATAAGATGAAAATTGGTTTATTTTGAAAATAATTCAATTATGAAATAATATAATTTATCAAAATAAAAAATAAAATCAGTTGATTTCGAATAAAATACTTCTTTTTTTGAAAAATAAATTTCTTTTAGTTTATGAAATATTAATCACAAATAAAACTAGTAATAGTTTCTAGAGAAGTCTTTTTTCGCATATGGAAGTTAAATGTGTATAATTTATTGTTTCTAACTTCAGATTCGAATAAAATTTGAGCAGAATACCCTGATGATAAGATTAACCTAAACAAAATATAAAAAATTGCTTTCAATAAATTATAATACACACTTTTCTTATTTTCTCTTCAAAATTAACCTTAACACACGAAACAAATTATTTCTATGAACTAACATTTTGTGTTGAAATTTATTGCAACATCATCGACAAATCCCTTCGGTTGAAGTAATCATCAATTAGGCATAATTAATTGTCAAAACTAAAGCGATTGAATGACGTGGAAATTGGTCAATTTATTACGATCATCATTAATGCGACATTGAGGGTGTGGGTGTTGGATAAAAATAAGACTCACAGCCACACCCACACTTTCAAGATAATTGTTTCATAGTTGACATCAGGGTACTCGATGTAGCAAACGCACACAATATCGGTCTTTAGCTCGGGTCATTACTTCGGGACCTTTCCTTGTTAGATGTCAAATCAAAAACGATTTCTATATACTAGTGTTTCTCTATGCACTTATTGGACGAAGAATATTACTCAAAAATAAATTCCATATGGTTGGTATTTATCTTTACGACATTTTACTGTTGATGACTTTACTATTTACTTTTATTAACGGTATATCCACGATTTACACAGAAAATATTTGTTTTTCATATTTTCTATAGTCAACAATTTAAATAAGTAATTTCAATTGATGATATTCAAATTTTATCCACTTCTCCTACGTTATGTGCTTCTTCTTTATCAGAATGAATATGTTATTTGATGGTTACAATATTTTTGAATAAATAAAAATATATTTATTTTTTAAAATTTATCGAATGAGTACTGTTAATAATATTGAGTACTTTGTTCAAGGCAAAAATTAAATAGAAAAAAAATAAAATGAAAATCGAAAGAATCATACATATTTCTCACATCTCAATAAATGTCTATTTGGCCATATTCAATCTCTTCATAGGACAGCATGTACTTTACGTAGAAGTAGAATGACTTGTATTCACTGCTCTACGAACTTTCGATAACTAGAACAAAAAAGAGAAATAATAGAAAAATATTTGTTTTATGTGAGTTGACAATCTAATAAGTGAAAAAGTTATTGATATTAATATATATACACCAATGTGTTAGTGTTTTATAAAAGTGCAAATCAATGTTTAACCAAAGGTCGGTGTCTTCTAACCGGTCTTAACGGGGCAATGCCAATAGTTGAATAAGCATATGTTTCATGTGTAACAATAGACCCTGATTTAATTTTATCAAATAAATGATTTAATTTCCTATTTAAATCATCAATTTCTTTTTTTCGTGGATCAATATCTTCATGTATATCAGTTATTGAATGTTTTGGTTTAAGTATACGTCGTTCAATTGTGTGTACTATATCCAAACGACGTGCTTTACGAAGTGCTTGAACTAAATCATCAAGAACTGCACGTGTATGAAGACGTCGCCATTTATTTAATGCATCTGTTGCTTGAGCCTATATAAAAAATTCAATAAACTTAATTAATTAAAGTTGATACTAACTTGAAATACATCCCCACGATGATATTTATCATCAATATATTCAATATCTTTCGATATTTCTTCTTGACCACGTGCTGGATAAAATGGTAATTCCCAATACAGTCGAGTCCAATCTCGGCCAATATTATTCGATGCAAGACGCATGGCTTTAGCAAGATCGTCTAAAATAAATACTCATTTAATCAATCGATACATAATATTAAATTTACCATTGTTAGTTTCGCCTACACGTTTTGATCTTAAAGGTAAAGAATAGAAGATTTTCTGTGGTAAATCATTTGTAGAACGGCATCGAAATATATTTCGCATAATATCTCGACAACTAATAACACGATTAAATTCATTTTCTTTAAGAATTTTCTCTTCTAATGCTGCTTGTACTTCTTGTTGAAGTCGTTTATTTTCAGTACGCATCGTTGCTAATTCTTGTTTACGTTGTTTAAAAAAATCAATACGTCCTTTAACCGTTTCCATTTGTGATTTTAATTTCGGTAATTCTCTTGAAAATTGTTTAATTTCTTGTTGAAATCTTTCAATCGATAAACGATTATCAACACCATCGTTTGATTCTTCAGCTTGTTGTAACATTTTTTTTAGTTGATCTTCATAGACTTCACTTGTTAAACGTTTTGATAAATATTCACGTTCTTTTACATCTAGACGTTCTTCAAGTTCCTCAAGTTTTTTAGTATTTATTTCATTTTCTTGTTCAGTTTTACTTAATTGTAGTTGAAATGCATCAATCTATTTAGAACAAAAAAACATATAGACACTTAAATATATCATTTTCTTTTTAAATACTCGATGTTCAACATGACTAAGATGTGCTTTACCGAATTCAAAATCTTTTTTTGCATTAACATATTTATCATCAAGTACTTTCAAAGATCTAAAAAACAAGGTAAATTTTAATTTTCTTTCTTTCTTTTTTTAATTATAAATTATTTACGTTTGTATGAATGATGTATATTTTGTATCTTCATTCAACCATGTTCGAAGAGCAGCTACAGCTCGACGAGCTTCAATATAGCATTCTGGTAATGCAAATATATATGAAAGTGATGTACAATCACAACGAACAGCTAATTCTTGACATTCTTTTGATAAAGATGATATAAAAATTCCTTTTTGATCTTCAATACGTTGTTGCATTTCAGATACAATCTTCAAAGATTTATTCACTTGAAATATATGTGTCCAACGAGATTTTTCATATGTATACGCAGTTTCAACATATTCATCCTATAAAAACAAACTAAGTCAGCTCGATTATATAGTGTCTACTTACAGGTGGTCTATCATTTTTTCGTTTTTGAACAACTTCTTGAATATTTTCAATATCATAAAATGAAAGAAAATATTGTTCCATTAAATTTGTACATTCATGTAATTTATTTGTTAAAACAAGCATTTTTGATTGAAGTTGATCGGTTGTTTTTTCCATAATACGTTTCATTAAATTTACACTTTCATCAGATATTGAATCACCGAAATTACCTGTTCGCGCTTCATTTAATAGATCTCGTACTGTTTTTCCATTACGAAGATCACTTAATAAACGTGCATTACGTAATTCATTTAACGGAGCTGACCAGGCAATAAGTGCATTGACAGCTTGTGATCGTCTAGCTGTTTGGGCTTTAGGTTTGATATTTACGGATGCTGATGTCTCGTCATAGTAGTCACTTTCAATATCATCAATGTAGGCTGCACATTCATTAAGTTCTTGTTCGAGAAATTTATAGATTTGATCATAAGATGTTGGTTCAGTTGTTTTAGACCAGGGTTTGGGCGGATGCATTGATTTAACTTTTTTATTTTAAATACTATTATGCTTTAATAAAAAAAAATATAGAGAGAATGAGAATAAAGTAGAAAAAAAAATACATTAAATTATTTTCGTTTTAAATCGATCCTTGAGACGAGAGTTTGATCGTGAGATATTTTTTGCTTTCTTGTTCTTCTTCTTCTTCACTTTTTCTTTCTCTGCAACAACGACGACGACGACAACAACAACACAATTACAAGATTTCTGTTTGGTATCGATGTTGTTGTTATCGTAAGCAACACTGAAACTCTTTTAGTGTGATGAGAGAGAGAGAGAGAGAGAGAGAGAGAGCGAGAGCTGAAAACGTGAGAAAGAAAAATCCTGTTTAATATTATATATTGACGTATGTTATAGAGAATTTAGTAATAGATGATAAGAAAGAGAAAAGATTAAGAATCAATGAAATCTCATCTTACAACAGAAAGATTGTTTTCCTTCTCAACAAACTATCGTTCTTTTCTTTCTTTTTTTTAAATCATAAATTATGATCGAGAGTCATTAAAAGCAAAAAAAAAATGTAAAAATTATATTTGTTGTTGAAACTGTCACTATGTAAATCTTATTTGATTCTTTTTTTTCTGCCCGTCATTAACTGTTGAAGTTTGATAGACAGCCGACATTGTTTTTTAGACCATTTATTATATTTTTTGTTTTCTTCCGTAAGAAAAAGTAAATGTTTAATCTTATCGTTTAAAAGATAAAAAAAAAAAAGAAAAGAAAAGCCAAACAGTTATTCGAAAACAAACATGAAACAAAATTCTTAATTACAAATGCAAATGAAACAATAAATATTTGATATTTAGAGAACACGTGCTCTTGTATATGTTGGTAATGTATGCTTGAAAAAACCCATTTCATTAAGAACTATTTTTAATAAAAATAAATGAAAAATAATTATTAAAAATGCCAATGCAATCCAGAAGATTATGGGTAAACCACCAAGTTTATGACCATGTCGATGAAGTGCAAGAACATCGTGTGCATGAGGAGGAGCTAAATAAAAATTAGTACATCAATTGAAGATTAGAGGAAAAAATAAATCATTCATACCTATTTCAACTTCTTTAACATGTAATGTATCTTTTAATTGTGACATATATTCAAAATCTTCTGTTATATAAAGAATGGCAGTTGGTGGACTTGTCATTTTTACAGGAAATCGAACTGGATGAGGACTATATAGACAAAATACAATTCATATTTTGATTCGGTACTTGAACTATATATCTTTCATATGTCAGACTTTTTTCCACTTGTCAATTTAAAACATTTATTCTTTCCTTTCAAACTTAAATAAAAGCCTAACAAGTGCTATTTTCAAGTCTTCCTTCTCATATTCGATTAATGTTAATCAAGAAGAAGAAAGAAAATAACAAACCTAAGTTTCGTTGGTGGATCTAAACAACCAGCATCACATGCATATGCTTGTGCATTTTCATTATCAACTGATACATCAATAACAGCACGATTATCATGTCCTACTGTAATACTTATATTTACATGATATTGTTTACCAAAATTAATCGAACGAAAAAACATATCACGATGAAGATCTTTTGGATCTAAATACATTTCAAGATGATGATTACGAAAACGTATACCACCAATTGATAGCAACATGGATTGTAGAACACCATTAGCACCTTAAAATAATATATATTGAAGAATATCTGATATATATATGAATAAAAAAACATACCACTTCGCATCAATGTAAAACAACCTTTTCGAGATAATGTCGACCGCCAGAGATGTGCTAGTTGTGATACGGCTAAATCATCACCCGGTGCGATCCATAATTTTTCACCAATTCTATTACAAACACATAGTGTAAGAGGATATGGTATATTTTTAGCGTTTAACTTACAATGTGGAATGACTTTCATAGCATTGATCTATTTGAAAAAGACTTTGATTTAATTCATTTCTTTTTGTTTCATTAATATTTAGTTCATAAATTGGTGATGGTGTTGAACAAATGACATAATAAATAGTTCTATTAATAATATCACCATTCATAGCTGATGGTGCTAATGAACGACTTATTCTAAAACCACTTTGCCATATTGATGACCATGTATCAGTATGTTCTTTCAATAATCTTAATGATGATGCTGATAAAGCATCGGACATATCATCTTTAGCTTGTTGTTGTAATTTATTTTGCACTTGTTGAAAATAAGTTTCATTAGATAGAGAATTTTTTGCAAGAAGTGAAGAAAATTTAACAACAGTTAAAATCGTTTGTTTTTCTTGACTAAAATATTTAAAAATCAAACTCAATAAAACACATTAAAAAACATGATAAATAGATTTTAAACATACCTACCAGGTTTAACATGACTATTAATTATAATTTTATTAGTAATAATAACGAAAATAATCAAATTATTCTGTCGAGTAGATATTTGATTAGTTGTCATTAAATATATATCTTTAGTTGAATCAAATTGCACATCTTGTTGATCAAGTTGTTTAAAATCAGTTTTAGATATTTGACTTTTTTGTTGTAAATCAATATCAAGTGTATTTTCAGTTGGATTGATTATCTCAATTTCTTGAACAATCAATGATGTTCTTTGTCGATGTGCATATAATAAATGCGTTACATATGCGGAACGTTCTTTACTAAATTTAAAACATTGAATACGTCTTACAAGACCTTGTTTCATTTGTACTATTGTTGCACTGGAAGCTTCCCATGTATCAGACGATATTTGAACAATTGGTGAATAACCACTGGATATAAATGGAGAACGAATATCAGTTAAAAATTGAATTTGAGATTGACTGGATAGGGATAAACCAAGATAACCATTGCCTAATAGAAACAAAACAAATCATCGATATGTATTTCACTTTACAATAAGAAAAATTTTAACCTGTAAATGGTAAACTGGCAATTTCTCCATATTGAAGTGGTTCATGGTTGAATATACTATTCATTTCTTCTTGATCATGTGAAAACTTTTCCAATCTATTACGTAGACATTCATCATAATGAACTAATAGATATCATAGTTCATTAATAATTCTTATTATTTAATAGACATACTATTTTTATTATATGTTCCTTGATGAGGTATCAATTTCGATAGTAAATAAAATACAATAATAGTACCAATAATACAGAATATCAATGATCGTCGAGATCTTAATAAAAAAAGAAAATAAAAATATATGATTTTTTATTTAGTCAAATAAATATTCATTCGATTAGTAAATCTACGAGGAACTCTTATCTACTCTATATTAGATTATCAATTCGTACAATCGAATAATATAAAATCTGCCTTGAATTGTTATACCAAAACGCATGTTTATCACAGGAAAAGAAATGTTACTGAAGTCTAAACAAATTAAAATTCAAAAATCCAAATCCTAACCAATTTTCAAAATAGAAAATTAGCAGATTTTGACTTACCTACCTTCGTTTCAAACGTCGATATGTAATACCATAACGACGATCAATGTCTTTAAATATATTCTACATTGAAAAATAGATCATATGAATATATATGAATGAAAATATATATTTTACTTTGAGACTTATATTCATAACTTGTTGATAGAAATCAAAACTAATTCATTCATTCACAACTCATATTTTAACTAATTTTCTATTGGTTAATAAATCTATAAACGTCTATCTACTCATAGCGACATCATAGAAGAAATTTTGTTTCTAAAATAATTTTATTATAAAAGAAAATAAATCAAACTTTTTTTTATTAAAAATAAATAAATATGAAAATATTTGAAGTATATTGAATGGAACCTAATGATAAGTTAAGTACAACCACTCAAATGGTTGTCGTCTTCGTCACCGTCATCATCATCATTACCTTTTATTCTTACTCTCCTCTTACCCCGCTTTGTCTGATCCATCCCGATATTCATCTCATCCATCACCTTGTTCTTTTTTCCTTCCTTTACTTTTTTTTATTTCAACGCGTTTTTTTTTATTTTGACGTAAATCATCGTTGTTTTTTGCTTATTTTTAAAATCTTCTTTATCAACAGTTTTTTATTATTTAAAGAAGTTGAAAATAAAAAAGAAATGGACTTCAGTAAAATCAACTTAAGTAGTTATGTGCCAGCAATGCCTTATAAAGTTCGTGAACTATTAGACAAAGCAACAAATATGGTTATGAATTATACAGAAACAGAAGCAAAAGTTGTAGAAGCAACTAATGATGAGCCTTGGGGACCATCAGGTAAATTATTACAAGAACTTTCTCAATTATCATATTCATATGAACATTTTACTGAGGTAAAATTAGATAATATCATTATATATATTGACATTGACTATTTTCTTTTTATTTGATTATTCAAGTTAATGGGTATGCTTTGGAAACGATGTTTTGGACAAGAAAAAAAATTTTGGCGACGAACATACAAAGTACGTAGTTTGTTTTGTTCTGTATTGTAATTGAATAGTTAACAACGATAACGACATTTTTGAGATACGAAGGGAAGGCACCATGTTGATTAGAAATTTCCCATACTATGTCTTATCTATTTTTGTTTACATACAATATTAAGATGAAACAGATGTTTTTCTTTTACACTTCATTTCTATACAACTATGTAAACATCAGTTTGATTTAAATAAATTATTTATTTTTAGTCATTACTTGTTTTAATCTATCTAATAAAAAATGGTAGTGATAAAGTGGTAACATCAGCTCGGGAACATCTGTATGATTTAAAAAGTCTGGAAAGTTATTCTCATCATGATGAACAAGGCAAAGATCAAGGCATTAATGGTAAAAAAAATATTAATTTTATAATTGTATAGAATTCATATTGTTTATTTTTAGTACGACATAAAATAAAAGAAATAGTTGAATTTATACAAGATGATGATCGACTTCGAGAAGAACGTAAGAAAGCAAAAACGAATCGAGATAAATATGTTGGTGTTGGCAGTAATACATCAACTACTCGTTATGGTACGTTTGTTATTATTATTTATTGATTTTATTATTTTTAATCCTTTTTTAGGTGATAGTTGGAATGATTATGATGATTCAAATAGTGCCAGTGGAAGTAGTAATACAACAAAAAAAAAAGATTTTGTTGAATTAGATGGTCGTTGGCGTTCAACAAATCCATCAATATTTGAAGAAGGTTTTAATAAAGCTGAAGATTTAGCACATAAAATGAAAGAATTAGTACTTGATCAACGACGTCCATCTCATGAATATTCACCGGATGTGAGGTAATTATTCGTTAGGGTCTGTGATGAATCATTCGATCCTAAACCAGAGATTAAGTTGCTCCTTTTAGTCTAACTGGTTTAGGACATGTGCCCGAATAACAGAAGGTGTGAGTTCGAGCCCCACGAAGGTCATCTCTTTCGCTGATGTCCTTTTCATGGCTCTAATATAATCCTAACATTATTATAAATTTGCAATGATGATACATTTCATGCGCGTCATCTGATAAAGCTTGATGAATGCATTTCTATCCATTCATAATATACTGAGCAAATTTCATCTTTAATAATTACAAATTTTTTCATATTTATTTTTAGTGATGATGAGGGTCGATATTCGAAGAAGTCTGATTTCCATGATAAACCATGGAATGAACAAAAAAATGATCATCAAAGTAAACCAAAGGTAAATATATTAGTTTTATTAATTTCCGAATTTATCATCAAATTATTTTAGGAAACAAATTTTGAAGTAAGAAAGCCATCATTAACAACAAATGATACTCAACCGTCTTCACAAACTCGAGTAGGTTTGATACGACTTGTAAAATTTTAGTATGAGATAAAGAAAGAAAAGTAGTACAAGATAAGATTTTTTTTATTGGTATGTCAAGGTAGTTTTATACAAAAAAAAGGATGATAAAATTTTTTTTTCTTTCTTTACTAAATAAGTGTAACATCAAAAAAGAATATCGGAGCATTGAAATTTCCGGAAGAATGAATATAAATGTTGCGACTACGCCTTGCTATTCTTGGGTAAAAGAATTATTACTGCTTAATCAAGAGTATGAATGAATGTATTGAAGCTTTAATAATTGATAGACGTATATGAACAATCTGTTCGAGTGGAATAATTACATTTAGAAAAATTTCTTCGATAGTTTTCTGTAAATCTAAAACAATAATAATAATTTTAGTATGAGATTCTTTATTGATCATACATTTATTTATTTATTTTTTAAAGTCTTCTACAACAAATAAAAAACCACAAACAATTCCACAAATTCCGACTTCAGTTCCACCTCAAGCTCCTGTTGGTGATTTATTAGGTGACGATGATGGCTTTACACCATACGTTCAAGCTCCAAGCGTTAAATCTCCAATTGATGATGATTTTGGTCAATTCCATGAAGCACCAAACATTCCAACGAAACAAGTGATATCTCCAATTAATACGTAAATAATTTCTTGTTTTTTTTTTAAATATTCATCAAAAAATATTTATTTAGAGTACAACCTTCACTCTGGCCAACAGCAACAACAACAACAACAACTCCATCACTTCCAGCATCATCATTGCTATTTGATCCATTTGAATCATTAGAACAAACTACATCAACTTCAAGTAATCTCGTCCAACCAATAGATCCATCATCAACATCATTATTCACAACACCCAATGTAACTTCTTCAAATGATTTAGATCTATTTATGATGCCAACTCAAACGACTCAACAATCATCAATGTTTTTTCCTGCTCAACAACAACAACAGCAGCAGCAGCAATCATTTGGACGTCCACCGATGTTTCAACAGCAACAACAATCCATGATGTTTGCACAAACACAACAACAACAATTTAATAAACCAAATAATAATGGATTCAATGTAAGTTTTAAAATTAATATCTAAAATAATAATAATTAGAAAGGAAAATCAAATACAAATTATAGGCTGTATTTCCTGATTCATCTCCGGCAGTTGCTCAATCGCAGCAACTTGCCAACATGGAGAAACAGGTATAATTTGCTGCTATAATATTTTGTTGCTTATTGGAAATGAATTAACTAATAATGGGATTCGATTTTTTTTTCTTTTCTTTTCATATGTATTTAAATCTAATAGGAATATTTTTTATTATTTCTTCTTTTAGAATACTTGGACATCAGCACAAGGTAAAATTGATATATCATTAAATAATCTTATACCACATACACGTGGTGATCCTCACAAAAATTCTCTACCTCTGAATCAATTAACCAGTCCAACAAGTCCAACAAATAGTGATTTTTCATCATTAATGATGATGAATAACAATACTCAATCTATATTTTCGAATTCAAGTAAGAATTTAAAAAAGAAATCGCTATATAATGTTATTTTCTTGTTTGCTATTTTAGCACTTCCAATGAACGGTTCTGGTAACCGTCCAATACTCAAGTGAAAAAATTAATATATATATATATTTATCTGAGAGTGTGTATGTTGTGCAGAGCTTGTGTATTTATTTTTCAGCAAAAAGCTTCATTGACTTATTTATTCTTTACATACAATTGTTAACAGACGAATTAATCAATGTACAATTTACAACAATTATTTAGTTATTTAACTAAATATGATTAATCTGCATTTTTCTTTTTTTGTTTGTTTCTCTTCATTTCGTCCAAATACTTTTTCCTGTGCAGACATTTTCTGACTACATTCTTGTTCACTGAACAGTGGAATTTCTGTTTTCTTTTTTTTTTTGTTCTTTTTGGTTTTCTTTGACTCTTTGGCAATCTATTATTTCTGTCTTTTTTCTCCTTATAACAAAATATTTATGTCCCTAATTTAATGCAACAAATACTTTTCACAATGCTCGATTGTTAAATAGAATCAATAATACTCTGTTGTTTTTTATATTCAAACAGAGATACGAAAAACAGACATATATATATACTAAATAAAATTGTATTATTCCATCAGATGATTTTCATCAACAATAAATGTGAATTTTTATTCGTCATGTATACTCAAGATTTTAAGCAGCGAAATAAACTCGGAATTGATATGCATACTAATGCATTCTGTTCGCATGTTACTCCCTTACTTATTTTGAATCAATATTATTGTATCATATTCTCAAGTGTATGAAAATTGATTTATGCAAAATAAGAAATATACTTCAAAAGAACATATTCTTAAAATATGACTACTAGTTTTTTTAATAATCTAATTAATCTATGAAAACCATGTCACTTCGCTTGACGCATTCAATATTCATGATAGTGTTGATTACTCATTGCTATCTTTGAATAATATACTAAATGTCAAGAAAATTTGATATGCTTACTAACAAATATGTATTTATATATATATATTTAATATAACGGCATCGTAAAGGACATAAAAACAGCTCATTCTCTAGAGTGATCGATTAGAACAAAATACAATATAAATCAATATAATATACCGTTTTATAGATATTTTAGATCGTTAAAAGCATCATTTCCGACAGTCGAAATGATTAATTTCAGTAGATATTTTTCTTCATTGTTCTTTAAATAAATTTATCATCTATGTAATGTAATAATGGGTCGATCAAAAGCAGTAGTTAATCTTTATTTATGATGATCGAATCTTCTTCTTTCCAATGAGAATGTTAGCTATATTTGATTCATTCATTTATTAATAGCTGATGCTAATAAAGAGAAAAACACGAACTTTCTGAAGAGTATGACGGATGTATAGCAATGGAAAAGACATTAGTCCAGATAAATATATTCAACACCAATTCCTGTATGATTAAACTAATCCATAGAAATTGCAGTGAAAGAATCCACCATCGATCTGCAGACATGGACTATATCTAATTCTTACAATCAATGAGTGCTCTCAGAGTCTGATAAAATCCAACAGTCTATTTGGAATATACAAAAATGGGTTTAATAGTTCTCATGAATCATAATATCAGTAGTTTTCCTTATCATATTCTTAGAAATCAATAAAATATACATAACAAAGAACTCATCCAATTAAATATATTTTAGACATTTGTTAAAAGTGATACAATAAATTGTGAATAATTTAAAAATAAATATCTATTGCTTTATTAAAGTTATAATCTGTATGTGATAGCGGTACTGAAATCAAGCAACAACACATATGAACATATTATTCATAATTTGTAAGTCGAAAAATCGAAAGCTGAAGTTTAATTTACATCATTGATCAAATTATTGTAAATTTGGTTGTTCGATAAAATATTATTCATTTGCACTTTATATAATTCGTTTAATTTTCTCTTCAATCCATATACATTTATTAAATATTTGAAATATTCCATTACTATATAAAACCAATAATATCCTGCTTTTTATTCAATAAAATAAATAAATAAATAAATAGATAAATAAATAAATCCATTCCATTACTCCCCAAGTTGATTCTCGTTAATAACTTCTCTTAAATCTTCATTCTCAAATAATGTTGCATGATGACCATTTTTACCGATAAATAACATTACACGTGCTAATGCAATTGTACTAATAGTCCATGATGGTTTGATTACTTTAACGACATGCACGAGAGGTTGAAGAGCTCGTTCATACCATGCTTTATCCGACAATGTATGCGAAAACAAAACACTTGCTGGACGTACAATATACGTATCTTTCAGACCACCTTCATTTATTAAATCATTTTCAGTTTTACCTTTAATTCGACCAAATAAAAATCGGCTTTGTTCGGATGAATCAGCACCCATACCACTAACGAATACAAATCGCATATCTGGATTAACACTTGCGATAGCTTTCGCAGCGGCTAATGTATAATCATGTGTAATTTTTATATATTCACTTTCACTAACAGCATTCTGTGAGATACCTAATGCCCAAATACATATTTGATGACTTTCAAAGAGATTCAATATTGGAGTATAATCAAGAAAATCTGTATGAATAACAACATTAACTTTTTCAGATGTAATACTTTTATGAAGCGGACGCCGTGTAATAGCTGTTATAAGTTCGATATCTTTATCTTCAATTGCTTGCTGGACACATTCACAGCCAATGAGACCTGTAGCACCAAATATGATAATTTTCATATTTAGAATAAGGAAAAAGAATCTAAATATTTAAAATATTATTGATTAAAATGTAAGTGGAAATGTATGTATTTAGAAAAAAATGAAACTACATGCATAGTTATTATTTATGGACGGAATAGTAATTCGATTAAAATTAGTAAAAAAGAAAATTTTTAAAAAAGACGAAAATAGCGATCTGTAAGTGTCATATCATCGACGAATCTAAAATATCAATATAAAACTAAATGAAATATTCAAATAATTTACCTTGTCATTTCAGATTGAGCATGAACATGACGTTTTTCTTGTGTCCATGGTTCTCTCGTTTTTAATGGTTCATCTTTAGTCCACCAGCCAACTAATCAACAGATTCAAATATATAATCTATATATATCGGAATTCATTTTACTCACCTTCTTGAGCAGCTGTCAATGGACGTCGCGTAATTTGATTTGGACGTTGATCACCACGTACATGCATCGTACGTAAAGTATGATAATTTCTAATATTTAAAAATATTAAATAGTTTGATATTTCTGTTTGCTTGTTTCATTCGATGAAATGCTTACAAATTTGATGCAGCAGGTGTTGACCATTCACGTGATTGTAAATTTCCAGTTATTTCTCGAGCTAATTGTTTTTCGATTGCGCTTTTGGCTTGACCACTTACTGGTACTTTTCTTATTTCAGTTGTACCATGTGCTGTACTTGTTGGCTCAAGATGTTTCATAGATTTAAAACGATTATCATAGCCCATGAATGTTAAATTGAAGAATGACATCGTTTATCTAAAATGATGTTAACATTCACAATGAATCAGCGATACTTTTTATATATCTCATTACTGACAAGATTAGTTGGATTTACATGATTAATACTAGTTGACTTAAAATACTATGTATAGAAGAAGAAAAAAATCAAGCATTTATTATTTATAATGAATTCAACAGGATTATTCTCGACTATAAACACAATTGTTTCATTAAATGTTAGTAAACATATTCGTTGTAGTAAATAAATACAATGATATCTAAAATTAAAGCAAATAATCGTTCGCGACTAATACCGATAGAACTTAAATAAATTTGAAAGACGATTAGAAATATATTAAGCGTAAAAAAGTGAATACTACATTATTAATTAGAGTCCTTTATTATAATAAACATAAGGTAAATTTGTTTTGGCTTGAATTTCTTTTTCAAGTTCATTGGTAGCCACCTGTTGAAATAGTATAAATAAATAAAAAAGGTTGATCATATAAATTATGATATTTACTTTAGCTTTTTGTGGAAATAATGCAATCGACATTGGTAATGCCAAACCAAATGAAAGAGTACAGGCAAGTGTATTTAATGGTAAACTCATACGTGGAAAACGACGAAGTATATTCCTAGAAAGAAAGAAAAAAAATCGATTAATTAAATCTGTTGTATTTTGGGAATTAAGAAAAATCTTACTTTTCGAATGCTAACATAATAACAGGTGGAAAGAAAAAAATTGGTACTGGTAAAAATGCACGTGCCATTGCCATTTCAGTTAAAGCCTAGATCGAAGAATTAATTTATTCAGTTATTTGTGGTAAATCAATATTTTCAAATAATAATAACCTTTTTAGCTGCTACTTTTGAAACACCAATTGGTTTATCTTTTTCATCAAGGACTTCAATGCCATCATATAATTCATGAAAACGCATAAAAAGAACATTACATGTACTTGCACATGCTACAATTCGAGTATTTATATTGTGTTACTTGTTTTTCTTAAGAAGAAACAATATTTTTCCTTACCGACAGCGGGTAATGGAACAAATCGTTGCACGACATTCTTGAGTGTTGGTGGAAGTGATTTTGCACGTCGAATTATCATGGTTAAACCAACCTGATATTATCCATAAAAATATATGAATATGTTCTACTATCCATTTCGAAATAGAATGCAGTCGGGTGCATTTTGAATAACTTGAGGCTATCTAGCCATACAACAATCAGCTAATTCTTTATGGTTTTCTAGGATTTGTCAGAAATCCTCTAGACAATCACTTGTGAAAAAAGTTAGAACTTCAAGTTCTTGGATTGGATACAATTTCTCATCATGTCTTCTGCAAGATAAAATCAGACTGAGGTCGCTATAATGTTCAGTTCATGCACTAACGTCAATTGACTAAGGACCTCTATTTACAATAATGTGTAGTCGAAAAAGGGTTACAAGCCCTGTAGTTTTTTCTTTTTCTCATTCATGGGATTCTGTGACATTCGCAAAAGCAGAAAATAACCATACGTTACGTATTGCATTTACCTGAGATGACGCATTGGATTACTTCCTCACGTATCATCGTAAAGCTGGATAGTCCCAAGTTTTTTATTATCAACCGCGAAAACCCAACCTCGCTAGTTAATATCGCTTCTGGGTTATTCAAAATGCAAATAACTGCATTTTATTTTGAAATGGATAGTAGAAAATAAATAAAAAATACTTACAGCAATTGAAACTGATACTGTAACAGCACTTAAATAGCCAATCGCAAATTTTGATACTGGTGTATGTTGTGTAGCATTTCTATTTGCATAATTAACACCAGCATTATGACTAAATGATGATACTTTTTTTAAATTTTCTTAAATCTATTTTACGGCTATACCTTTGATTAAACCATTGCCAAAAAATAATTTGTTTAAGTGTTGGATCTGGCAGAAGAAGACCAACCACAATCGGTGTACCAAATGGGACATATCCTAGCATAAACAGATAAATATAATAAAATTTGTCGAAAACGGGATTCACTATCATGTCTATGTGTTTTAGGTAGAAGGCCATGACATTTCAACGGAGAAAAACGAAGGAAATCATGCTGGAGGAATATATATATATACTGATAAAGGGCAATTTATATGATCGATTGTCTTACTTTTAATAACGATTTAGACTTTTTTTTTAGAAATAAGATTAAAACTTCTTTTTAAATTAAAAATAAAATCTTACCAGCCATTCTAAATGGCATAAAAATTTTCTTTCCGGTATCCGGATGAACAATTGCCTAGTAAATAATTAATAAATATTCATGAGAAAGAATAATATAACAGAAAAAAACAAATCTAACTTGCACGGTCTTTTGTGCTTCCCATAATTCTTTATCAGTAACATTAGCTGGTAAAGTTTTTGATTCATATTGCTCGAGTAACTGACGACATTCATTTAATTTTTTCTAAACAAATTAAATATTAATTTATATTAATAAATAATAATTTCATTTTTACATCGTTGACAAGTAATGTACGAGGATCAATAATATTCATAAAATGTAAAAATCGTCCCCAATAAGTATTCTAATCAAATATACAATTTAATTTAATTAAAAATTAATATAAAAATAAAATTTACGAGATCATATCGACTTTTTCCCAATTCAAATGGTGGATAAGACATTGTGATCTAAAAAATAAATAAATAATCAATACGTTGCTACGGGCCTCTTTCATTTTTATATTATTCTTTTTTTTTGTGTTCTCTTGCTTCCGCACTGTGCGCTAGTAGGCGAATAGAAAAAAAAAATAAATGTCAATATTACCTATCACTACGGTCAAGGGCAAAGACTCAAGTGAAGACAACGAACGCAAGAAGAGTTTACAGCAACAACGAGATTTTATCATCGATCTACTTAAACATTATTCGATTGTTGCACTTGATATGAAATATTGTAAAGAATACATTCTCATTCATGTCTCGTACAGTATAAATTTTTTTCTTTGATAGTCAAAGATAAGAACAATCGTGTACCATTTACACGTTGTCGTACATGTCAACATACACGCACAATTTATGATTTTGAACTTCACGATCTCGATCAAGAAAAACAATCTTTATCGAAATATAAAAACCAATTCTGTTTAATTGTTAATGTCGCTACATTCTGACGTGTAACATATCAATATATACAATTGAATGCATTACAAGAAGAATTTTCTAAAACGAATCAATTTACAATTCTTGGTATTCCATGTAATCAATTTGGTTATCAAGAACCTGCTGAAACAAAAACTGAATTATTAAATGGTTTGAAATATGTTCGACCGGGAAATAATTTTCTTCCGAATTTTCCTTTATTTTGGATTGTTGATGTTAATGGTAAAAATCAACATCCATTATATGAATATTTAAAAGCATGTGTACCATCAACAAAAAAATATTTTGAAGATCATACGATGATTTTTTATGAACCACATCATTCTGATGATATACGATGGAATTTCGAAAAATTTCTTATCGATTCTAATGGACATCCAATAATGAGATTTGATAGTGATGCTGAGCCATTATTTATTCGACAATTTATTGAAAAACTTCTTCAATTTAAAAAATATATATAAACTGTAAAAAGAAAATAATAAGCATAAGCAAAAAAAAAAAGCTTTTTTTGTTTTTATTCATCTCATTATATTAATGATGACTTTTTCGTAAACCAATATTGGACGAATAAGTCGGATAAAAATTGTTTTTATATATCATTCATGTCATTTTAATGCATTCAATTCATTAATGAATATAAAAATAAAATTAATGAGACGAATAAAAATACAAACAAACAAAAAAATAATAACTGATATGTATAAATTCTATTTTATCTGCACGATAAAAATAATATAGATGTATGAGTAAAAATAGGTTAAAAATGATTAGAAAAATAATCTGGTACAAAAACAAAAAAAAAATTCAAACACTAATTATAATATGAGATTAATTATTATCTTTAGACATTTCTGATTGTAAAAGCGGCGTTATCGGAGGAGGAGCACCACCTTCTTCTACATTTATAATAACTAAATAGAATAGAATAATAAATTATAATAGAAATAAATGAAAATTTCGTACGCTGTTTTCGGTCTTTAGAATTTAGACGATTCCGATTTGAAATACCACAACAAAAATAACAAATTAATATCGAAGATATATCAAATGATATGATCATTGAGAGAACAATAAGCAGAGCTATTTTGCCGTGAAATGATAATGGAGGTCGATGTTGGCCTATGAAATAAATTAATAAGATAAACTGAATTTAACAAAAACAAAACTTACTGTATTCACAATGAGCTTCATCAATGTCATTCGGACAATTTCGAAATCGATCACAAACAAGGCTTCGATCGATACAATAGGTATCCGTAAAACAATCAAAACCACAGGGTGTATACATTCCTATAAATTATAATTCTTTTAGTAAGAACAAAAGAATGTTTTTTTAAACTTTACGTGTTTTTATCTTTAATGGTGTAACAACCATAGAAAATTTCGATATAGGAAATTTTTCTAATCGATAATAAATGACAGTTAGTCGTTCTGTATTAATATAATATTCAGTACCATTTGTTGCATTACAATCAATAATAGTCTTAAAAAGAAAAATAATAAAATAATTTTAAATAATTAGCTTAATTACCGTTTCACCGGTTTCAGATTCAATAATGACATTTTCTGTAAGACATGTAGGTGGATTATGTAAATATATATAAAATCTTGTTGAAACTGATAAATTAGCCATTAGAGATGCATTATTTAAAGTTGGTAAACAACAACTTTGTAGGTTTAATTCACATTTACCCACCCATGGTGTTCTAGATAAATATCAAAAATAATATTTTTATCTTTCCACATATTTTACTCAACAAACCCAGCATATCGAACAACACCAGCATCGAGTGTAAATGTATTCTGTGCATTACAATAAGGTCCATATGTATTTTCGAGATTAACTAAATCATATGCAAAAAAAAATTTTATTATGTCAATATAAAAACAAAAATATCTTCTTACAATATGTTATTTTCGCTAATGTCGAAGATAAAAAGAGTATCGAAAAGATATAAATTATCGATAACATCTAAAAATGAATAAGAAGAATTTTTTAATTGACTATTTTATTTCAAATGTAGATATTAATTTAATTAATCATCAAACAATATTGTTTTGAGCAAGAACATACAAACAGAAAAGAAAAACGAAAAACTACATTTGAATAGATCTGACCAGAGTTTGAGACAAGAAAAAGAATTTGCTGGATTACAAATATCTGACAAGAAAACTTATATACATATATCTAACTTCAATTGACATATGGATAAACAGGTTTTGTTGAATCAATCATTAATGATGTTGGTTCAGTATGTTGTTGAGGTAAAACTCTAATAACATTTGGTGCAGTAAGATCCCTCATAAGACCAGCATCTTCACCAACAACAGCAGCCATTTTGTTTTCTACAATTTTAAATTATCTAACGAAAATATTCTAAAAAACAGTGTTTCATACTTTGAAATAATTTATCTTTTTTTGTTGGATGAAAACGACGTATAATTGCATGACATGTAGCACGACAACAGCAGCAAATTAGAACTTTTAATTCAATAAAAATATGAGATTTTCTTTAAAAGAAAAAAACAAAAACTTTACCTATTGATACAACACAAAACATCGAAAGAAGTCCGAATATTAAGAGGAGAATTGTACCAATTGATATCGAAACTGAAGATGGAATTGCTAAATTAATCAGAATAAAAAAAATCTATTTCAAATAATTAACAACATACGATAACAATGACGTTCATCTTCACCATTTGGACATTCAATTCGTCCATTACATTCAAGTTGTCGATCAATACATGAATGAGGATAATCCAATGGACATTGAAATAATATTTCTCTATCCATACATGGTTCTAAATCAATTTTATACTCAAAAAAGAGAACATGCGATTTAAATATTTTACCTTTTGCTAATGCAGTAACTTGAATATTTGTGCTGTATTTCATTTCTTGTTTATTCATATTTTGTTTATATGTTAAGCTAATTATACTACATGCCATTTGAATTTCACTTGAGTTTGTATGACATGTATATTGTATTGCTGGTGGTGCTGTCTGTAATGAGAAAAAAAAAATAGATTTTTTCGATAAGAAGAAAACAATCTTCATGTAAGTATTACTTGTTTAAGAAGAGAACTACCCGGAAGACATTCGATAGTTACAGTTGATGAACAATCCATTTGTCGTAAAAGAAACACTCCAAATCCGTTTTGCATATCTGAGGACCATGGATTTGAAATATGTACTGAACAACCTTCGCTTTCATTATCAAATTTTGGTGAAAAACTAAGTAAAACAGCATGTTTTTTCGTTATTGTATTATTTTCATTTGTCCAACAATCATTATGAGAATAAATATTCACTAAAAGAACATATTAATAATTTTACAAAACTAACTAATAGACATACGATTATCAAAAGGAATTGATAAAATACTTGGTATTATACAAATAAGACCAATAAGAATAATCTTCATATTTATCTAAAAAATAAAATAAACTTGTTAATTATTTTTTCTTTTTATTGTAATTTATTTCTTTCATACACAAAAACAATGTATTTTAAACAAGAGCAAAAAAAAAAATATAGAAACATACACATAACATGAAGGGTACTGATGGCAAAGTGAATGCATAAATATATAAAGACGAATGACAGTCAATAACCAAGAGCATAAAAGATAAATAAAAATTATCATCAAATATATGCTTATGCTCACGCGGTACAATTAGATCTATCCGAGAACAAAAATAGAAAGTTTGATTTTGCTCCTTACATGAACTGAAAGGGAGAAGAAGGGAGGGCGAAGTTAGTATATAGAAATTTTTTTTTACTACGATTATATACAATGACAATATAGCACTACAGAAAGAAGAGAAAAGAAAAAAATAATAATGATAATAAATCGTCACTGCAAGAAAGAAAATATTTTTTGCGGAGACAAAATGTACATTAGAAAAGAAAGAAAAAATTGAACCGGTTAAACACTGTGAAATCCCCGTTTTTTTCCATTTGTTTTGGTTTTGTTTTTTATGAAAAGCAAACACCAACCTATATACCCGTACATACTGTTTTAAAAAAAATAATTATTATGGAAGACTAAAGATTATTTCGATTAATATAAGTTCTTGATAAGGCTCCTCCGTCATTTTGATGATTTGATTCGGAATTAAGATCAACTGCAGTTGCTGCAATAACATTCCTATATTCAACATGTCCTTCACTCAGTGAAAGACCTGATGTTCGATAAGGAATTTTTGTTTCAGAAAGTATAGTTCGTAATTGAGTATTTTCACGATCAACACGATTTAATTTTTCAGTTAATTGTTTTATTTGTGTTTTATAATTTTCTAAAGTTCCTTCAAGTTGTTCAATATATTGTCGACGACGTTCTCGACAACGTCGTGCTGCTTCACGATTACTATCACGAATTTGCTTTTTACGTTGATCTTCAGAACCAACATTCATATTTGAGCCATTAGTTGTCGTTGTTGTTGGTAATGGATGTGTTACTGTTCCAGACGCGGCGGATGGAAACGATGAACGAAAATTCATCGATGATGAATTTACTGGCATTTGTGCACCTTTTTGTCGTTTAGCATTTGGTGATAAATCCGTTGATGTTACTTCATTTAATGATGGTTGAGGAATGATAAGTGTATTTGCTTTTGTTAGTGGTGTAAGATGATTACCTAATTGTTAATAAAAAAAAAATGAAATCATATTTTTATATAAAATCTTACCAGTATTAGTCTGTTGATATGGTCGTTTATTATGATTTACATTATTAAGTATAATTTGTGCTTGTTGTTTAATAAGTGGATGAGATACTCCATTTTGATCCATTCTTAATTGTATATTTAAACTTTGTTCATTTCCATTATTGATTACAGATTTAAATTGTGGATTATTATTATTAATATTATTTGAATCACTTGGATGTGTCACTGTTGATAAATCTGATAGACGCGTAAAAGAATGATTACCAGAATCATCTGTTGAATTTTCATCATCAAGACTATTTTGTGTATTTGAAATACTATTATCATTATTGTTTTTCTGAGATTGAGAATGATTATTATGATTATTATTGTGTACGGGTGATGTTGGCTCTGTATGGGATTGACTTCGTATAAGAAGTTTCTTTTTAGGAGATACAATAACACCCATATTTACTGTTGGAGGTGAATCATAACGTATATTATCACTGTTTATTATGGCTGTTGTTGTTTCACGTTCATTATTTCCATTGATTAAGGCTTTTATTGGATATTGAAATGGATTTGTATTTGTCAATGCTTCTAATTCTTTAACAACCTAGATGTAAATAACAAATATGAATCATATAAACAATCAATCAAAAAAAAAATATATTTCATACATCTGCTGTTGATGGGATTTCAATAGTTGATCCATCATCATTTGTTATGACATTAGATGGTTTTTCTACAGTAAAACTATTCGATGATGATATTTTTGCAAATGGTGATTGAGTTGGTCTACGTGGTTCACCAAGACTTTGTTTAAGTTCATCTTCAATTTTTAATACTTTTACATCGGCTGATGATTCTTCTGTTGAAGATGTTTCACCTGTTGTTGTCGTTGCTATTGAAGCTGGATTTGATGTTGTAGAATTCGCATTATTAGTTGAAGCATCTGTATCTGTTGAACTAAATGTTGGTTTATATATTGATGGATTTAAAACAATATTTGGTGTTATCAATGATGGAGTATCCAATGTGCTTGCAGTAAATTCATATTCTCCTTCGTCTGTTTGCATTGATGATGAATTTAAGAAGTTTCTCTAAATCAAGCTAAAAGTCAAATATGAATCATCTTATTATTTATAATTAAATGAGACGATTAACTTTTTAAAAAAAAGAAAAAAAAAATTTATCTATAAAAAACTCTGTGTATACACACGGTATAGGTTATCTCTATCTATAAGCTTAGCCTTCTTTTATCTCGGAATTTTTTATAAATAAATAAACAAAGTAAATATATTGAGGTACAAAAACAACATAAAGAAAGAATGAAAAAAAAAACTCAAGATAAAAAAAAACAGTTTATCTTCAAATAAGAATGGTTTAAATGGATGAATCAGAAGAAATTATATTCTAAATAAATTATATATAAAAAATAATTTCCAATTAATAAAAATAATCTTTAGAGAGAAAAACAACATTCACATTTTTCTCGATAGATGTCACTTTTAATGACTTATTAATCTATGTGCTGTCTACGCAGTTATAATAACAACAAAACGAACGAACTATACAAGTAAACGTATATGAATCAGGATGAAAACATTCTGCGTACATCTTATTATTATCATTTATCTTTTATTATGTTCGAAAACAGATACATCATCTGAATATGAATCAGATAATATAAATCATGAAAAAACAAAATATTTTCGTGAAGAAAATGACATATTGTCCACCTCCACCAAATGGGATAAATACATAAGATTAATTGAAAATGCTGAAGAAAGTCATTTAAATCAAACAAGTGATGATAATCATCGATCAATATTTTGTCAACAAATTGATAATGATTTTGCCTATTGGAAGAATCAATCGATTGATGATATAAAAAGTCGATTAATTGTTAGTGAAACTCTCGCTAAAACCTATCGTCTTACATTATATCAAGTAATTAATCATCGATTATATCGTCAAACAGAAGATCAATTAATATTTCCAGCACGAAACTATGGAATCGAACATTTTCTTTTAAATATAATTGATTCATTACCAGATATGGAATTCTTAGTGAATACATATGATTGGCCACAAAATCAACTGAACATTCCAATTTTATCATTTAGTAAATCATTATTATCTCGTGATACAGATATACTTTATCCTGCATGGGCATTTTGGGATGGTGGACCAGCATTAGGTAGTGTTTATCCAACAGGTATTGGTCGTTGGGATATTATGCGACAAACATTAAATAAAGCTCGTCAAAATTATCCATGGTCAAAAAAAGAATCTCGTGGTTTTTTTCGTGGTTCACGAACATCATCTGAACGTGATCCACTTGTTTTATTATCTCGTAATCATCCGGAATTACTTGAAGCACAATACACAAAAAATCAAGCATGGAAATCTGATGCCGATACATTAGGTTATCCACCAGCTGGTGAATTAAAACATGAAGCATTTTGTCAATTTAAATATTTATTTAATTTTCGTGGTGTTGCTGCATCATTTCGTTTACGACATTTATTTTTATGTGGTTCACTTGTTTTACATGTTGGATCAGATTGGATAGAATTTTTTTATGAACGTCTTCAACCATGGTATCATTATATACCAGTAACAACTGATTTACATGATGTTGAAAATATTTTATTATTTGCTCAAAATAATGATCGTTTAGTAAGTAAAATAGCTCGACAAGGACGTGATTTTATTTGGAATTCTTTAACAATGGAAAATGTTGAAGGTTATTGGAAAGAACTTCTATTAGAATATTATAAATTATTTGGAAATGATAGAAAAATTACAATGAAAACAAATTTTGTTCAAGTTGAGCGACGATCAAAACCATAAATTTTGACATATTGACAAATAAACGTTTTCCCTTGCTTATCTCTAACTGTCAGATCTAAACTAATAAGCTAACTCAAAATGCTTTCTTTTTTGTTTTTTGTTTTTCTTGTCAACTATCTTCCGTGCAATGAATGGTGCTTTGAAAAATGTTTTATCTTTATTCTTTTTAATAAAAAAAAGAAACAACAACAATATTATCATCATCAATCAAATAAATTGACAGTAACATTATAATTGATTGGACATTCAGTAGTTGTTTTTGTTTTATCTTTTGTCTTTCGAGATCGAATGCGTCGATTTATATCATGTTCAAACATCTAAAGAAAAAAAGCGACATAGAGAAATTCAAGATTGATATAATCTAATTTGAAAGGGTCGTTTTTTCTAGATTACAAACCTCATCATAATCAATTTCGAGTAGATCATGAATATCTCGTTCACTATTTATTTTACGTAAAGACGTAAATGCAAGAGCACATGTTGCTACATCTGGATGATGATGATGAGTGAGAGTCTAAAAACAATATTTTTATTTAAATAATAAGAGAAAACTAATTTGAATTGTTTTTTACTTCTATTTCCCATAATGAACTATCAATTGCATTTGTTTTATTAGGATCAATTTCTTCAGATAAATAATTATCTTTAATTGGATCTGTTGATTGACTTGGTTGTCTATCGATCATAATTCGGATTTGCGGATGTCTTATACATAAATTATAAATAAATGTTATAATTAAACATTGATCATATTGTGGTATTAATAAAGCTAATCTAGCAAGACGTTTAGCAAAACTAGCAACAAGATTTACTGGTAAATGTCTAAATAAAATATTTTCCAAAAATACAAAAACATTTGAAATAAAAATTAACGTACGATGATTGTAAAAATATATCAAGTAAATAGAAAAATCTTGCTTTATATTTCGCATTAAATAAATCAATTGTTAACAATGAATAGAGTTTACCAAAGAAAAATGGATATTCAAGATTATATTGTGTTAATAATACATATAAACCATGTAATGCAAGAATTTTTGATGCATTACTTTGTGTTTCATATGAACTAGTCAAAAAATCAGCTAGAAGAAGTGGATTAGCCATACGTGGAATTATTTTTGTAGGTATTTGTAATAGAATTCGACGATATAAAGCTGCATCCACCTAAATTTCAATAAATGATATAATTTTACTGGTGATTCATAGAAAGGTTCATATTAGACATAGACATGACCCAAACCGTTTGGGTGTTTGGGTTTGGGTCTTCTTTTAATTGCCATCAATGTATCTAGATTACTTTCGTCTGCAGATTAAAAACACGTGATCCCAAACCCAAACTGTTTGGGGATTTCGGTTTCGCACCCAAACCCAAACTCATATACCCAAACTGTTCGGGGATTTGGGTTTCGCGCCCGAACCCGAACCCAGTCTCAAACTCATATACCCAAACTGTTTGGGGATTTGGATTTCGCACCCAAACTCGAACCCAAACTCAAACTCACTACCCATATCCAAATTCACCAAACTCAAATAGTTTAGCTTTGGGTTATGCCTAGTTTTAGACATAATTCAATAGATTACGATCACTTCTTTTGCCTTTTGAAAGATTATTACGTTGCATTTCATCTTTCCTCTCTTTCGAAAAGTTTTATCTTAATAAAATTTAAAATATTACCTTATCGGATGATAAAAAAGCCAATAAACGTGTATCATATTTTTGTTTATCATCCAAAGTTTCAATTATTGATTTTCTTTTCTTTTTTGATGAAAATAGATATTGTATTAATTTTTCTTCTTTCATTTTTTTATAATCTAATAATAATCGAAGAAAAAGAAATTTTATTTGAGTTTTCTTTTATTTGTCGATCTTCTTAGGAAAAAAAACGAACAAATGAGAACGTACATATGGTGAATCCCTGAGAAGATCTTTTTCTTTTCTTTTGAAAATTTTTTGCAATAATATATATATATGTATATATGTATATAAAGATGAACAACACGTTCTCTAGCGTGCACAATAAAAAATAAGTTTTCTGTTTTTTGTATCGACTAGAAAAGAAAAGAAAATAAACGGTCAAGCATGACTAACTGTACATAGAAGAATATAGAAAAAAGACACAAAAGAAAACAATAATTAAGTCGTAGAAGAAGAAGAAGAAGCAGAAGTTTGTGAAGGTGGTGGAGGAGGAGGAGGAGGAGATGATGACGATATTTGTTCATTATTTAGTTGTCCAGATGACATTTGTGTTGTTAATGGTGATGTATTATGTGCAGCTGTTGTACGAATATGATATTGATGAAAAAGACGACTAACAGATATTTGATTAGCTGCATTTGAAGAAATGGTTGTTGGTGATTGAGCACGTTGATTAACATTTGATGGTATTAAATTTAAATGTTGCATTAAATTTTGTCGCATTGTAACCGATGTATTCATTGTTGTTTGTTCATCTCCTCCAGTCGTTGTTGTTGATGTTGTTGTTGATGGTAGTTGAAATACAATATTTGCTTGAGATGTTTTTGTTTGAAAACCAGATGTTGTAGAATCAATTAATGGTGATGATTTAAGTTTCGATGATGAACTTATTGATGATGTAGTCGATGTTGTTGAAGTTGATATCGGTCGAGCTGGTACAAATACAGCACGTGGTGTTTGTGTTGGATCACTCGAATCAGTATTAACACCAAATGATTTAATACGATGTAATTGTGCCGCTAGATCAGATGATATATCTTGATCCGTATTGAATGTTGGACGTGAAAATGTTGATGGACCTGAATTTGCACGATTATAAGTTATGTTTGTTGATTGTATTGGTGATTGAGATGTATTTGTTGTATCAGCAATACCAGTTGGTGGATTAGTACCAGGTGTAAATGTAACAATACGAAAGTTACGAACTTGCCCAGGTAAAGCTGCTGTACGAGTAGCGATTATTTGTGGAATCTAGAAATAGACAAATTGAAGATATCAATTAAAATGATGTATTATTTACATTAGTCTGTGGACGTTGATTAGCTTCAGTTAATCTTGTTGTTTGTGTTGTTGGTTGAGTTTGAATAGAATTCGTAGTAGCATTTGTAAATATTTGTCGAATTTGTTGTGATGGTTGTTGAGCTTGAGATATTGATGATGGTTGATTTGTAGGAAAAGTAGTTGTCGTTCGTATTTGTTGAGACGAATTATTTATCACCGTAGATGTAGTTGATGTTGCTGTAGTTGGTTTATCTAAACAGAAGAATATTTTTTGTATGAAATTTTTCAATTCTATAATAAATAAATATAAATTTAGCTTACTTTGTGATAATGTTACATTGATGGGAGGAAGATTCATTGGTGATGTTGGAGAAGATGAAACTGGTGGAGTATTAGGTGTAGGTGGATGTTGTAAAGGACGAACAACACCACCTGAAAGTGTTGATTGAAGCTGAAAAGAAAAAATAGAATATATATTTATATATTTATATGTATATGTAGATATATACAGTTGATGGTGGAAGAGATTTTGTTTGTGATTGGATAGGATATTCTATAGTAGATTGATTAATTGATGGTGTACGTGGCATTGTTGTTTGTGGTCGTGGTTGTTGTTGTTGTGATTTTGGAGATGGTGGAAGTTGTGAACGACCTTCAAAAGGTGGTAATGTTGTTGTCTAAAATAAATATGCTTAATTAAAATTAACTCATCATTTTTAATAAATACATACGTGAGTTTGATTTCGTGCCATATTTGACGCTCGAACTTGAAGATTAGCTGATATTGGTGAATTTGTTACTGTTTGCTGTTGTTGTTGTTGTTGTTGTTGCTGTTGCTGCTGCTGTAGTTGTTGAGGAACAGCACGTACTGAACGATATTCATTTCCAGAAATTTGAACTACGAAAACAAATGATTATTAAATATAATTTCAAAATAGTATTTTACCTGTTCCAACATTTTTTTGTTGAATTGAATTCGTTTCATTCATTAAAGAACTATTTGGAGGTAAGACTTGTACTGATCTTTGTGCAGGTACAATAGTTGCTGGTGGAGGTAATGATTGAGGTGACATAGGAATTGGATTGAGAGATGTTGGAGTTGAAATCTGTAGAATTGAAAATAAAATTATTGAAGTTTTTATTTTTATTTTTGTTAATACTTACATTGCCTCGTGTTGATAGAATATTACTTTGAGTACGAGTTGGAGTCATATTAGGATTATTATTAGTTGTTACAATAATATTATTAGTTGCAGCTCTTTGAAGTGAAACTGGATTGGAAGGTGATGAAGATGGAATCAATGGTAAAGGAGTTGAATTGATAGGTGTTGTTGGAGTATTTGATAATGATGGACGAAGCTAAAAAGATTTGATTAATCAAAGAAATATAGTTTATAAAAAAATAATTTACTCGAGGATTAATTGTTGATGTTATTGATACATTAGCAGGAGGGATTTGTTGTTGTTTGATTGTATCAGTGTTCGATGTTGTTGCAGAAATTTGTTGTTGTGTATGAATATTTCCAGCAACAGACTGGGTTGCCAGTTGTTGCTGTTGTTGTTGTTGTTGTTGCTGCTGTTGTAGTTTTAGTTCTTTTTCCCGTTCTGCTCGTTGATATGATACATCACCTGGTGTTAATGGTACATCAAAATTAATATCTTAAGAGAAGAAAAATTTAATAAAGATACAGAATTTCCTTTTTTTTGTAGATTAACATACTATTTTCTTGTGAAAGTGACGTTTGTTTTAAACCTCTCATTTGATGATGTGCAACTTGTGCTGCTTGTATTTGTTTAAATTTATTTAAATAAATCAATGGTGATAATTGTTGATCAAATTGTGAAATAGTTTCAAATTTTTGATGATAAATTTGTAATAATTTTTGACAATTATCATGAACAAATAATTGATTTGTACGTAACATTTGCCAATTATCATCTGACATCTGAGATAAAACAAAAGAAAATAAGATATTTTTTTTTTGGCATTCAATTTCTTACCTTTACAGTTCCTTTAATAACATGTTTCTTTTTTTTAATTAAATCATAAACAACACGACCTTCTTCACGTGGTCCAATAACTTGTTCAAAACGATGTTTACATTGTTTTGGTGTACGTAATATACGTGAATATCGATTAACAATATCGGATATAAAATCCCAATTTTGTGTTAATGCATTCGTAGTATTATTAACAATGGATGATGCTGCTGATGGTGATGACGATGATGAAGGCGTTACTGAGGGCAATAATGGCGATGATGATAAAGTTGAATTTGGTAAAATTGTTTGAGGTTTATTTGCATTTGATGTACTTGAAAATGGCATCGATGATAATGGTAATTGTTGAATATTTTGTATTGTATCTAAGACTTTATAATCTTCTGATATAAGCCAATCACTATTATCAATTTCAAGTAAACCTTGAAAATTATCTTTCGTAAGCATATCTTCAAGTTTAATAGAACGTGATGATGTTGATGTTGCTGTTGATGCTGGAACAATAACATTTGAATTTGATGCATTCGGAAGTGGAGTTGTTGTTGTACCATTATTAATATATAATTGACGAGCTTTTATATTTGCTTGTGGTGTTACTGGTGATGAAATATTTGATGGAAATATTTTATTATTATTATTATTATTATTTAATGTTTGTTTTGATTTATTCAAAGTATTTGTTGATAACGCAGATGATTGAGTATTAAGTAATAAATTTGATCGATCAAACAAAGAACGTGGTACAAGTATATTTGTATCTGATTTTGACATATTTGTTGTATCAGCAAGTGCTAAAACAAAAGGATACAGAGAATTAACGATATAACTCGTTTAATAACGCAAAGAATACTATATTTATAGAATTTATTGTTTTACCTTTTGGTAGAGGAAATCGAATATATTCATTTGGTTCAATAAGCATTGCTTCTGATTCATAACCAAAATCAAGTTCATCATCATTATAAATTTCTTCGTCTTCATCTGCTAAATATTTCATTAGAATACCACACCATATCTAATATATATATATATATATATATATATATTAATAAAATCAATAAACAAAAAGAATATAACAAACCTCAAATGCTTGACCATCTTCCATGATGAAAATCTAAACAAAAATGAAGATATATTAAATTTTCTTCTTCTTCTTAATATTTTTATCGTCTACCTATCAACTTAACTGCTCAAAGGGAATTCTATTTCTAATCTTTTCTCAAAACAACTTACATAAATTGAAGTGATATATACGCATATATATATATATACTAAACTTCTAGTTTATATTTTGTAACAAGGCGAGAAAACCATGATTCAAGATAGATTACTCTTCAACATAAATAATTTGAGTTGTACTGCTCAAAGAAAACAAATGGAAAATATTTTTGTAAAACTACTCAATATAAATGAATGATAAATCTTGAATCATGTATTCATCTCTTGGTGCCTTACTATATATATATATATATATATATGCATATGTCTTCAATTTATGAGTTTATTTTTCAAAATCAACGAAATAAGTTCATGGATACAGAATGAAAAAAATCAACAATAATATATCACATTATTATGTTCATGTAAGATACAATACTAAGAAAAGAAATAAAATAAACATAAAACAAACACATGAATTATTCTTAATACTGCTTGTAAGATTAGAAAGAAAAGAGATAAGTATTTTAGTCCTCCTCCTCTATACTTTGTTAGGTTTTATTGTTTGTTGTATATCTGATAATTTTGGTGATAAAGAACGAGAATTGGACGATTTATATGCACCATGATTTACTATAGACGATTAATTTATTACTGATCTACTATTAGTAAATGTTACTCTGGACGGACGAAAATTATTATTGCTTGAATTCGATTTATCACAGTTAATTATCGATATATTCGAAGTCTTTTGGCGGCTATTTTTAGTTGCCGAGGATATTGAATTTAATGATTTTGCTAGTGAACGTGTAACACGTCGTTGTACTGATGTGGATGTACTCGGTTTTGATTCCAATGTATTGATTATTTTGGAATGATTTAAAGTAATATTATTACTTTTACTATGTATTTTATCAGCATCATCATCATCGGAATCGAAGCGAATTATTAAATCATTGTTTTTACTATTATGTTGAGTTTTTATTATAGACGAAAATATACGTTGTCTTGGAATAGGTTTAATTAATGTTTTTTGTTTATGAACTAATTTTGGAGACTGTGGTGGTGATGGAATAATTTGCAAACGACGTCGTCGTGATTGTCCTATCGTTTCATCTGGAGATTTGGATTGCGTATTATTAATTTTGGATAAACGTTTAATAATTTCAGAGGAGAGAGGAGGTGGATATGAGAAAAAAGATGAAGATGTAGAAAGAAGAACGGGTGATAATGGTATAGGAGAAGGAATAGATGACTGACACGTAGTTACTATTTCAGAACTTTTCTTAAAACGCGCTACTTCACTCGCTACCAAACTATTTTGTGCACATGAATATGTATAATTATATTTGACCTTTTTCTCATTGTCTCTTGCATATGTATACATCATTTCATCATCTTCTTGTTCACGTTGTTTTTCCTCTTGTTCTTTTAATGTTTTCAAATGTGATAAATGCCAATCCTTTCGAATTTGCTCTGTATCAAGCTAGAAAATTTAATAAATATTATATTTAATTAGAAAAAAGCAATTTCTTACATAAGTATTTGGACCAATTTGTGTTATTGGATATTCAGTACGATGTGATTCAACACAACGTAAAACATATCGTTCAATTGGTCGAAGCTAAAATAGGATAATTTCATTTATACAAAAATATAAAAGATAATTTACTTGATTATCAAGTGTTTTTAATTCTTGTTCAACTTGATTCATTTTTTCTTTTTGTTTTTCAATGATTTGATCTTCATTTATTTCTTCTTCATTAAATTCATTTAAATCAGCTCCTATTTCTTTATTATATTGTTCAACTGCTTGACGATCAATATCATCTTCAACTGAAGCAAGTGTTTCTTCAAATTGTTTTACTGTTAAATTATCATCAGTTGTATTGATTGAACGTGTCGTATCTAATTGTTCTTGATATTCATTTCGTTCACGTACTATATCTTCTAGAGTTGATGATTGTTGAAATAATTCACGAATATTATTCTAAAATGAAAAATTTCAATTATCAATTTACAGATTGACAAAAAAAATCAATACCTTTTTGAAACAATTTAAATCAAAATTACCACCATCAATAGTTATATCACATAGTAAACGTTTTTGATTTGCTTTTTTCAAAATATTTTCTTCAATTGTATTTTTACTAATAAGTCTATTATATAGAAAAAGAATTAAATTTTTTTATTACATTCACTTTAAAATATATATGCGTACCGATAAATATGTACATCTTTTGTTTGTCCAATACGATGACAACGATCTTGTGCTTGAGCATCCATTGTTGGATTCCAATCTGAATCATAAAAAATAACAGTATCAGCACCAGTTAAATTCACACCAATTCCTCCAGCACGTGTTGATAGAATAAAAATAAAGATTTTATCATCACTATTAAAACGTTCCATTAATAATTGTCTTTGTAGAACTTGTGTTGTACCATCTAATCGTAAATATGTATAACCATGATAATTTAAAAATGCTTCAAGTATATCAAGCATTTTAGTCATTTGTGTAAATATTAAACAACGATGTTTATCACGTTTTAAATCTGATAAAAGTATATCAAGTGTTTGTAATTTACCACAATCATATTGAATAAGTCGTCGTTCAGGAAATTGTAAAAACATATTTTGTCTTATTTCTGTTATTGATGAAAGAACATTAAAATCTGTTGATGATAAAACTTCTATTAAAGGTTTTTGTTGGATTGTTTTCGTTGATAGACGAATTCCATTTGATTGATATAATTCAATAGGTGTTGCTAATACACGTGTAGTACACATTATAAATCTAAATACAATAAGAGAAATTCAATGATTAAGATTTCATGTATTTATTTACCGATTAAGTATATCTTGATAATCATCTAATAATTCTCGATTAGATTTAATTAATGTTCGAAGAACATCTGTGACTGACATATATTTTCGAATTGTAGTTAATGGTTGATGTGCTTCTTGACATAATGCATATCCACTAAATGTTGTTCGATTCAAACTGGAACATGAATTCATAGCTAATTCAACTTGTGAAATAATATCAGAACCATATAATGGATGTGATTGACAGCGATCTGTATTAATTTGACATAATAATTCATAACGAGATAAACGTTCTTCTTGACGTTGTTGACAAATTTCGTTCTAAACATAAACGTGAAATTCAGACGAATTCTAAGGAATGACATTTTCTATTATCTATGATCATCTCGCAAAGGGTAAACAACAGAGACTTCATGCCTGAGGTCACACGAAGTCTTTGAAGTCTTCCGAATTTGTATAGATGCATTTATTTCACGGAGAGACGAGGGAGGAACAACGGATACTTCATGCATGAAGTCTCATGAAGTCTTTGAAGTCTTGAAGTCCGCTGTTACCCTCTTCTCATCTCTATCACATTGTCGATTTACGAGCGTACTCAAGTACGCATTAAAGTTGCTTTTTGTTGTCAGAAGAAAAGTAGTGAATTTTTTTATATTTACATAAATATTATCTGGTTGAAATTCTTGATCATTAACATCCATTAATAGATTTTGTTTTATTCCAGATTGATTTCGTTGATCTAAAAATCATATTTAATATACCAAATGAAATGAAAGATCTAAAACGTTTATACTTCTTGTTATTCCATTTTTTTGATGCCATAATGAACTATTTCTATATCTTTCAATAATATCTTTTGTTAACTGAATTCTTTGACGTTTATCATTATTATTATTATTACTATTATTATTATTATCACGATTAATTATATTCATAATCATATCTTTGGTTGCTTGCAAACTAAATTGAATTCTAAAACTAAAAAATGTATCATTTGGTGATGAATTCAATGCTAAATATGGATTTTTTAAATTAATATCATCAATAATTAATTTGGGTATTTCACATTTAATTATTTGTTTTTGAAATATAAATGGTGAAATAATAGCTCTTGATTCAAATAAATCTGGATGATTACAAACTTTTCTTAATTGCATAAGTATATTAATTACAGACATATAATGTCCTTGTTGTATAATATCACGTGTTGTTTTACATTGAATAAAATCTTCATATAATTCTCGTTGTCTTTTCGATAAATGACACATAATAATATGTTCATATTTTTTTGGCATTTGTTTTTCCACATCATTTTTTAAACGACGTAAGATAAATGGACGTAAGATTTTATGTAAACGTTTTATTAATAAATCATTTGATGATGATGATGATGTTTGTCCTTGTTCAATCATTTCTGTTAAAGGATTAGAAAACCATTCACGAAATTCTTCATGTGATGAAAATAAATTTGGCATTAAAAAATGCATTAATGACCATAATTCCATAAGTGAATTTTGTAATGGTGTACCAGTTAATAATAAACGACGTTGAGAATTAAAATTTAATAATGTTTGCCAACGTTGTGATTTAAAATTTTTTATATTTTGTGCTTCATCTAAGATTAAATATTTCCATTTTTTACGTCGAAATGATTTAACATCTTGTAGAATAAGTTTATATGATGTTATACAAATATGAAATGCATTCATTTTTGACCATCCTTGACGTTTTAATTGACGTTCTTTTATTGAACCATAATATGTTAAAATTTTAAAAGCTGGACACCATTTTTTAAATTCAATTTCCCAATTTAACATAACACTTGTAGGAACAACAATTAAATGTGGACCCCAAATACCTTTTTCACAAGCTAAATGTGCAAGTAGAGCTATTGTTTGGATAGTTTTACCCAAACCCATTTCATCTGCTAATATACAATTAAGTTTATTTTCAAAGAGTGTAACAAGCCAATCAAGACCAACATGTTGATATTCTCTTAATGGATGTTTAAGTAGAAAAGGCACCGGTATTTTAACTGAAGTTGTATTAAGTGTAAATCCTGTTGGTTGAAATGTTTGAGCTGTTGTTGCTAAATCATCCATCTGTTTATCATTGGTTACTAATTCATCAGTTATGGGATTATTTTCATCGGATTCATCTGACATGAATTCTTCATCAGATGTATCACTTAAATCATTATTACTTAGATTATCATCATCACCATCTTCTTCTTCTTCTTCTTCATGTAATAAATTATTTTCTTTTTCACTTGATGCATTAGATAAACCAATACCATATTCACGTTTTAATACTGTATCAAGTGATTCTTCTTGATCTGCTTGAAGATCGTGCAATTCATTTAATGTATAATCATCTTGTATATCTTGTTCTTCAAGTTCAATTGTTTCTTCATCATCTTCTTCTTCTTCTTCATTATCATCTTGTTTTCGTACTATATTTACATCTTGATTCGATGATGTTTTTAATGATTGTATTAACCAATCGGAATATTTTTCTGTTTGATCAACAATAATATTTAAATGTAAATCTAATTGATGTTTTCGTAATTGTTGTGTACGTGTTGTTTCTTTAAATTCAGCTATTTTATGCATATTTTTCCAAAAATTCATCACTTCTTTACATATAAATTGTGCTTGTTTCCGTAGCCGTTTAAATTCTTCACGTTGTTGTTGATTTTCAGCTTGTTGTTTATCACGAAAATATTTTAAAACAGCTAAAGAAAGTTTTTTAGCCATAGCTTGTTTCCAACGTTTTTCAAGTTCAAAATCTTCAGCTAACCAACGCATTTCATCAAGTAAATAATCCCAATGTGTTTTACGTTTATTTGGTTCTAAACATTTAGCTAAACGTTGATTTGTCCATTTACCATCAGATTTTAATTCATCAATACGTTTTAATATATGTGCTTCATTTTTTTTATCACGATCATATGATTGATTTGTTGAATTTATTGATTGATATCGTTGACGTTTACCATTACGTGATGGTGGAGTTATTGTTACATTATTAACATCATGTAAATTTTTTTCAACTTTTTCAATAAGATCTTCTTCAGCTTGAATAAAACGTTGTTCATCTAATGATAAATCAGGACGATCACACATTTGTAAATCAACATATTCACGAACAAGATTACGATGAGATTGAACAATATCATTAAGAGAAGTATACATTGATTGAATATTATTAGTATCAGATATTGAATTATTCATAGAAGATGAAGAACAAACGCGTTTAAACGGCGTTTCGTCAATGTCTATTTCATTTTGAATTATAGTTAATGAACGACGTCGTTTTAATGTATTAGACGTTGATTCATCATCTATCGTTGCGGTGGAATCCACCGCTGAAGTCATCTAAAAAAACAATTGAGTAGGAGAATTGAAACACTGAACATAATAGACATTAAGATTAATAGACAAATAAATGATAACCAAGCCAAACTACCTTCTATATTTACCATTGAAGAATAACTTCATGGGCCTCTATTCATATATTCATTTCGATTGGTTGATCAAATCGAAGGATATGATCAATTATTAGAGACATCTATCGGAACATTTTTTTTTATTTTACATGAATTTCACGTTGTAAAATGGATCTTTCTTTGAGGAATGGTAAAGGAAATTTGGAAGTAATGACGATATTATTGATCAAGCACTTAAATTTACCAGAACATATACGTAGGAATTTTGAAAGTATTATAGAAAGATTTCAGTCATTACAAAATCCTACGAACGCGTTATATCTATTCTTTTATAGCAGTGGTGGATCTAGGATTTTGGAAGGGACGTAGGGCGATACCTGGGGAGGGAGGGGCGATTTTGGTTAAGAGCTATTTGTTGAGTCCAATCGAAGTACTGTGAACCAATTTTTTCGTTTATTTTTGCTGTAAAAAATCAAAAAAAAATTCGGAAGAGGGGGCGACCTTCCCCATTGCTCCACCTTCCTCCTAAATCCGCCACTGTTGTATAGAACATTTATTCTATAACAAATTTTCTATTTTATATAAGTTTAAAAAATTATGTAGAGAATGAATTTATATAAAAGAATCCCTGTACTGAAAAGCAAGTTATGAGTTCACTTAAATGTTGCTTTTATTGTTTTGATATCGTCTCATCATAATTACTAAGCTATTCCCCAAAAATATCAGAAAAAAAGCCTATGTTATCGTGTAAATGTTTATTCGTTAGATATTTTTTATTTTAATTTCAATAAATCACTTAATTTGAAGTTTATCGACTATCATCAATAGTAAGATATTAGATTGTGATGATGTCTGATCCAACGTACACATAGACGTACAAAAAAAGTAATTTATTAAAGCAACGCAATTAGAATTAATATCATTTTCATCAATATACGACATTACAAATCAAAATCTTGATTTGCATCTATCCATACCTTTACAAAAGATATTCAAATCAATAAAAATGTTTTCGTATTCTAATTTAATTCAATATTTTAACCTTATGAAAATAAAATTATTCATATTAATAATACTTCCCCATTACATAAAATGTAGGGTTAATTATAGATTTTTTATATATAGTCACGGTTATCAAGTACACGTAATAAAATTTGCAATAAATATTTATTGAAATATACATAGAATAGTTTTGACAATTTAATTGTAAACATTGAATTCATACATCATTTGAATAGATATATACAATATTATCGAGATTTATTTGAAAAATTCAACAACACTTTATTTACTATGTTTTTTAGAGAAAAAAAAAACTAAACTAATTTTGTCCTTATTTTTCTTCGATTGTTATTTCATGCGTAACATAGAAAACATCATGATTATACTCGTGTTTGATTTGAATTGCGCAAAATTTTTGACAGATGAAAACGCGTATCTTACAAAGTCATATGTTTTCTATGAATAACGGGCGTAAACATATGTTCACGTGTTATATTCAATTTCTATTTACGAAGATGATATCAATGTCGTCGTTTGTCTTCGACTCTAATATAAATAGCTCAAATAAAAATGTATTTCTTTGTCTTATGAAAAAAAAACAAAAGTTATGTTACTTGATGCACAAAAAATATCATTAATATACGATTTTTGGAAACTAAATAATGAAGAAAAGTATCTACGTGATGTTACTGAATTATCACGTAAGCTAACAGAATCCGATAGTAACGATGGTAAGTCATATTATTTCTTATATTTATACATTTAAATTATTTTTATATAGCTGTTGCTATACAAAGTTGGATTCCTGATCTTCTGAAACTTGTCGAATTATGGGAACGACAATCTTTAAATGATTTGGATATATTCTATACAAATTTATTAAAAGATAAATCATTCAGTGATAAAGTTGATGGTCTATTACGATTTCTTTATGATATTCAATCATATGAATTGGTTAAATATCTATTAGAAAAAAATGTTCAATATTATAAACAAGAAAAACTTGTGTCATCAACAATGAATGCATTTCATGAATCATGTGTATATGGTTTTAGTCAAGTTTGTTTATTATATATTCGAAATAAGCAGGATATTAATGAAACATTTTCATTAGTTTATGAAAATTTTAAAACAAATAAAAAAGAAATTATTCGAAATTTAACAGCACTTCAACTTGTTTGTGTATGGTCAAAATATTTTCCCAAAAGACTTCCATCCTATGCACATACAGTGAGAATTTTATTGAATAATGGTGCAAGAGTTAATATGACTTCAACTGAATTAACTACACCACTACATTGGACATGTCGAGCTAAACATACAACACAATTAGCACAAGATCTTATTGAACATGGTGCTTGTGTTAATGCATGTGATAAATTTAATATTCAACCAATTCATTATGCATGTTGGACAAGAAATCAAACTATTGTTGAACTTTTACTATGTAAAGGTGCACAAGTTACAGTTCAGGATGATTTTGGTCGTACTCCACTTCATTTTCTTTGTATGCCACCATGTACTGAAGCAATGACTAATGAAGATAAACAACAACAATATAAATTAATGAATTATATTTTAAATAATTGTCAGAAATATAAACAATCAATTGATCTAACAAAACAAGATAAGCTTGGTCATACATTATTAACATATACTTGTATTAGTCAAAATCTTGCTCTTATGAAACTTCTCCTTGAAAAACAACCGGATTTAATAAATAAATCAACAATTATTGGAAGAACACCATTAATGGTTTCTATTGATGTATGTTTTCTAAATGGTATTGAATATTTACTTAAACAATCTAATATTGAACGAAATGCGTGTGATAGTAACGGTAACACAGCTGTACATTATGCATGTATGTGTTCAAATATTTCCAAACGTTTTAATCTTCTTCAATTATTAATTAATGATAAAAATGGAATGTTTGACTTTGAAAAACGAAATGAACAATTAATTGATCCATTTATGTTATGTACAATCTATCAATCAATTGATTTATGTCGTTTATTAATTGAAAAAAATGTATCAATAACAAAAAAAGATATGTATTCAAGACAACCTATTCATGTTGCATGTCAAATGGGAAATTATGAATTATTATCATTATTAATAAAGACGTCAAATATAGATATAAATGCAGTTGATGTTAATAATCGTAATTGTTTATTTTATGCTATAAGTTCAGGTGATGAAAAAATTGTTAATTTATTAATTGAAAATAATGTAAATATTAAAATTCGTGATATTGTTGGTGATACATTATTACATTTAGCTGTACAACATCCAACAAATGCATATGAATTAACAAAATGTCTATTAACAAAACAAGATGGAAAAGATTTAATAAATGAATCAGCAGCTGATGGTATGCAACCACTCTTATTAGCAGCAAGTTGTAAACAACCAATGGTTGTTTATCATTTACTTAAAAATGGTGCTGATATTAAAGGTGTTGATAATGAAGATCATACAGCATTACATCTTGCATGTAAAAGTGATTGTATGGAATGTGTTTTCTATCTTATTGAATTTGGTGGTTTAAATGTAAATGAACTTGATTGTTATGAACAAACACCATTATTCTATGCTTTTGTTAGTAATAATTTTGATCTTGCTCAATATCTTATGGTTTGTGGTGCTAAAATAAATATTCGTAGTAGTCAAAATTATTTACCAATTCATATTGGTATATTATTATCAAAAAATGACGAAGATTTTAATTTAAATCTAATTGATTTATATCAAGATGAAGATGAAAATATTCTTGATGATCAAGATAATGATTCTTATATATCACCATTATTATTAGCATGTATGCGTGGTCAATATGAAGTTGTTAAACATTTAATATTAAATTATAAAGTCAATATTATGTCGAAATGTTCAAATGGACACACAGCTTTACATTATGCTTGTTTATTAAAACCACCAAATTCATTTAAAATAATTGAATTTTTAGAGGAACATGGATGTACATATGAAAATGTTGATGAACCAAAAGGTTCATTTCTATATTCAATTATTCAATATGGTGATCGACAAACAATAATGTATTTTATTGATAATTGGCTTGTAAGTTAAATTTAATACTTATGATTTTATTTATATATATTTTTTTGTAGAAAACAAGTTCTGATATAAATGAATTACATTTTGATTCAACACTTCTCGATCTTCTTTATAAACGTGCACAACAACAACATCATGATCTTGATACAGACTATCTTTATGAATTATTTGATAAAGGTGCTCGTTTACATTCAACAAATCTATCATCAAGTCCATGTACATTAATAAATGATTGTCCACTTTTTTATTTATCTTTAATTGAATATAATTGTACACCAATCATAGCTGATAAAAATTCATTTATTTTGAATCTTTTAAATACAATTTCACTTTATCCACATCCTTTATTATTATTAAATAAGAAAAATCAAGAACATATTACTGTATGTGGATATTTTTTAACTATTGTTCAATTTGCACATTATTATTTTGATATTGAACAATTTTATTCAACGATTAATCAACAATATATTCCTCAACTTGAGGCAGAACAATCAAGTGAAGAAGTTGAATTACTTCGACAACAAATACGTAAACTACAAACAACACCATTGAAATTATCTGATATAGCACGAAAAACAATTCGGATGAAATTAGATATTCCAACAAAATCTAACTTTGAACAATTAGATTTACATGACCATCTTATCGAATTTCTTTCACAATGTAGATTTCAAAGAATTTAATATGTATAGAAATCGAATGACTTTTTATTTTTTGTAAATAAATGTTGAATAAAATTCATGTTTCTAGTCTGCCTTCACTAGATATATGATTTTTCCTTGTCATTTCAATTCAAAAAAAAATGATTTGTTTATCGAATAGATTTTATTAACAACATCAGCTATTCTAACTCGTTCATACTGATTTCTTAGCCAAAGTATAAAAAAAAAACGATTTATCACAATAAGAAAAAGGAAAAATTAGATGTTATTGAAATCAGGCAGATGTGTCATTGAGCAGTATAAAGTGCAGTCGATATCACAAATCCAAACTGGCATTATTATTTAAACTAAATTCATTGGAAGTTGTCATAAGTGTTGGAAGAGTACTTTGTCGCTTATGTTCATGATCTGCTTCATCAGCTCGAACACGATTTTCATCTTTTTTTATTAAATTTGGATTTTGAGCATATAATTCAGCACCCCTAAACACAAAAAATAAAATTTATCTATGGACGTATATATATAAAAAATACATACCAATACATTTGTTGTACTAAATATCGACATCGATCAAGTTGAGCTCGTACATTACGTGGTACACGCAAAATTAAATTTCGAACAAGAAAAAGAATACAGTATACAAAATGCTAAATAAAACCAATTGAATTAATATTTATTTTAAATGAAAACAAGTAACGCTCAGCTCTTTCTCGTAGAAATGCATCCTCTTCACATTTACTGGAAAAACAATTGAAAACCGTGAGAAATCGATTTTCGACATTTTCATGACTTTCGTCCCCTCATCATGGTCATTCAACAGACCTCAGCTTCGAAGTCCCCGCATTGAAATACTCCAAGAAATGTCTTTTGCAGAAAATCGGTTTTTGATGTTTTTTTGACCCTGCGGACATACAAGCAATCAGACATTTTATGTTTACTGGGCTCTTCTCTACGAGAAAGTTAAGTGTCCTCCAAATTTGGAGTTTACGGATATCTAAGTTCTCAAGAAAAAGAACACACATTTACAAGCTACAATTTGTCGAGAAATAATCTTACTTCAAAAACTATTACAAATGCTAATCGCGCCACCATTACATAGTAAAACATATATGAACGTGCATAATTATGTGTATGATCCTAGAAACAAAAGAAATAATTTATATATATATAAATATTTCAGATATATTTACAAGTCTGTAGTCTTTATAATAACAAGTTGAAAAATCAATTTGTGAACGTATTTCATTTGCTAATGGTGAATTACAGTCAAAATCTAACAAATGATATGATTGAGCAAATGGTAAGAAAAATGCTGATTTTTTTGATAAATCAAATAAACGTGCTTCAATAAATTGACATTCAAGTAATGTTCGATTAATAATTGTTGGAAAATCACTTGAATGAAATGGTGCTAATGTATGATTAAGAAAACCATTTAATGAACGATTTCCAATTGTCCAATAATAAACTTGTCGGGGAATATATTCTGATGTAATTGCAATTAAAAATGCATTTGATAAAACAGTTACTTTAGCCATAATATTCAATATTGAATTCCATGTTCCAATACCCATTGCACGTCGTGCCATTGGTCGACGAAATTCTTTAACAACTTTAAGTGCATCAATACGTATTTCAAATATATTATTAATTAAAGCAAATAATGGTGCTAATGGAAATGCTAAACAAAAAAAAGTAACAAAACCAAATTGTAAAATTATTTCTAAATATTCATAAAATAATGTTGTTAATTCAAATGGTTGTAAGAGAAAATCTTCTTCATATGATCGTTTTAAATTCATTGTTGAAGTTTGTTTATGCATTTGCGTCATTTTTGCATTACGTTCATTAATTTGTCGTACTGTCTGACGAAATTGTATACGTTTACGACACATATTCCATAATTTGGAAAAATAAAATTCCCATATATTTGATATTAACTGTTTACCAACCATTATAATTATTAATTGAATTGCTAATTCCCATACACAACCACTTACATCACATTCTTCCAAACGAAATGCTGTTGAATGACGATCAAGATATGTTGGTTTATAGATAATTAATGGTTTTATTAATGCAATATAGAATATACTTGCATAATAATTGACAAATTGAAATAAAAACATTTTTATTGTTAAACTTGCTTCATAAGTTTTATCTGTTCGATGTAATTCAGCATTTGTTAACCATATAGCAAGAATTTCGTAGAAATATTGTAAAATTAATATTATAATTAAATTGATTAATGCTAGAAAAATATTTCATAAGATATATTATCAAGTAAATTTCAAAGTCAATAGCACTCATCCTATTAACTCTATGACTTTATAGACCTCAAGTGACATCATTGATCCTATTGGCTTTTAGATGAATATAGTCATTGAGTGCATTGTTTCTTGCTTATATAAACCTTTCGAGACTTGATGGGTATTATGCTATTGCTCATCTTTGTTGTGATCGATAGTAAGGGTGGGTGTGAGTGTGGGCTTTGCTATGTTATCTACACCCACACCCTAGTTAAAGGGTTCGAGCAATAAAACGTAAGTGAAGTTCACTAGTTAATAGTTCCTTATTCTCAATGGACTATTCATTCTGAATTTGTTTGAGCTTCCGTGATTTCATCACATCCCTCTTAAATATGAGTTAATTATACTTTCTAACCTCCAGTGATTGGAACAATAATTGGTTTCCATCGATACATCCACATTTCCCGATCTATTGAATTAAATGCTGCCGAAACACTCAATCTAATCAAAATAAAGTCATTCATCATTAACAAAAGGATATTTCATTGTTCTTATTACCGATAAACAACAATACCAGCGACAACAGCTAAGACAAGTAATACCATAAACAATACAACTGAAAATGATGATCTATCAAATTATTAATTTCATACAAAAATAAAAGAATAAATTCATTAAGGAAAATAAAACTTACATATAAGTTATTAATCTTTTATAAGCTGGTACATAAGGCTCAAGTTTATCTGTTACTTTGTTTATAACTGTCTTTCGAGCGCGTCGTTCAAAATCTGGTCGTAATGTTTCAGTTTCCTCAGCAATATCCGTCTAATAAAAATACAATTAATTAATTATTTATTTTGATTTGATTTTATATTACCATATCCCATTCAAATTGTAGTCGATTCTCTTGTCGTTGCCAAAGAAAGTTAACACTTACAGCAAATACACTGATTAATATAGCAAAAGCAACGGATGCTGAATTATCAAAAACATAAGACATCTAATAAATAAATAATTAATTTATATGATTGATGAAAATCTAATTTTTCTTTTCATACTTTTGCATTGAAACAAGTTTCATTTAAAAACCAATATGCCTGACGATCCTAAGATAAATAAATAATGAAACCTATTAAAAATTTTTTGTTTTTTTCTTACAATTTTTGGACACATTAAATAACTTGAAGTTGAATTACATATATCAAGTGTTGGTCTATCATATTTGACTGAAAGAAGGCCCCATAAAAGAACAAATATTCCAAGAATTGATGGTATCATTAATAACGAATTATACCATCCAAGCCAAGCGAAATAAAATGCTAAACGTTCACCGTAATAATCTCTTATTGCATGAATTGGTTGAACACGAAATATATTTTGAAATTTTGCCCAACGATGATATAGTTTCTAAAGGAGAATCAATAAACTATTTCCTTTTGTCAAAGATTATTTAATATTACCATTCGATCATTCCATGTTTCAGGTTCACCGGCATCTTCCTTACGAATAAGTTGATCATGTAACGGAAATGCTGCCTCATAAACACTTTCTTCAAGTAATACTTCAATTCCTATAAAGACAAAAAGAATATTACATATATTACGAAAACATTTATCAAATCAAATAGCATGCAAAAGTGATAAACACAAAGCATAAGAATAAAGTGAAAACTAGTGTTACTCGTTTCTTTTCACCTGTATCTTTCATTCCTATAAGGTTGATTAAAACAATTTTTAATTGATGAAAAAAAGAGCGATTGTTTTTGATAAAATCAAAATCATACCTGATCTTCTTGTACTTGATGTAAAAAGTTCTTCAATTTTTAATGTTTGTATATCACTTGTATGTGTTTGTTGAGGCTTATGATTTGGTAATGCCGAATCTATTTCAGATGTTTCACTTTTTGCTTCCTCCGACGCTAAAATGACAGGCGAAACAAATTCAATTTCTTTAAAAGTATGTAACGATATCTACATAAACAATCAAACGCGATTAGTAGAAGGCAATTAGTCGAAAGTGAAGATCACAAACTACTTACAATCATCAAATGATAAAATAAGCGCTCTCTCTAGAATGATTAATGAATTTTTTTGAATAGAATTTTAATATTTTTGTTCAATAGATTTTCAATAAAATAATGAAGAAGAGAAATGTTTTTAACTTACCAGTTATTAATAGTTCTGGTGATCGATATGGACAACGAAGAAGAACTTCATATACAAGACGACTTCGTTCAGCTGGACGAAATACTTTATCAATATCACCAAAATGTTCAGAAAATCTATTCAATTTTAGATATATGTAATTCTATGTATATCTATTATAATTATAGACCTGTAATGAAGACTTTTTTGATAGCAAGCAGTAAAATACGTTTTCCCATTATATGGCTTAGGAAATTCCGTTGGATCGAGACGAGTAAATTGACATGGTAAACCTTGATCCAATAAACCGGGTTTTAATGGTGCTTTATTTTCACTAAATGGTAATTTCACTTTTAATTTTTCTGCCTAGTAAAATAATTAAATTATAAATTAATCAAACTTTTTCTATTCTCTTACTAATACGAGAAGTACTTCAAATGGTGCATGAATTTTTACAAAATATCGTTCATCTTGTTGTAATCCATTTTCATTTAATGTTTGACTACTTTGCTACAAAAAAGAATTTAACTTTGTATAAACTATAATTTAATAACTATTTTACTTTTAATTCAGTTTTATCATCATTATCTTCTCTGGAATCATTCAGTTGAATAGATTCTTCTTCTTCTTCTTCTTCATTCATAGCATCAGTTGATGTTCCATCGTTATTATGAGTAGTGTCTTGTGTATCTTTTTTTAGATGTAAACTAATGTTTTGTAACCGTACAGATACATGTCGTTGTAATGTTGATAAACCACGAACAAGTACATGATTCTCTTCATTATTACTATTGCTATTATTATCAGGAACATCAGCTGATGTTTCAGCTTGACGTAAATTTAGAAGATCATTTTCCTAATATTAAAAAATTGTCTTTAGATATTTTGAGCAAAGTGTTTTTTTGTCTAAACTAACTTCATCAGTTAATCGTTCTTCAACAATAATAAAACCTAATTTTCTAAGACGATCTTGAAAGAATTGTCTATATTCATCATGTTGACGATTAAATTTATGACTTCGTCGAAAATGATTTGAATGATAACGTGTATAGACAAGAACATAATCAACTGGAAGTAGTTGCCCATTATAATACATAAATTTCGATCGATCAATTGGCATTATATTTGCTTTTTTATGTATATAATTCTAAGAATACAGAAGTCACAAAATATTTGTTCATGTTTTACATACGCCAATCGGAACAATAACTGAATACTTACAGAATTAACAATAATATCATGTTGTAAATGATGATTGTTATTTACATTCATTCCTTGTGCATCACCTACAAAAATTATATCGATAAAAATCACATGTGCTATTTAGAAATTGTTATGAATGAAACGAACTGTTCTTTTAGTGAAAAGATCGGCTAGTAGTCTCAGGAGACAGAGAGAGAGAAAATTATTTTATCGCTTAATAGATAATGATGAATTCGCTATTATGTCGTGTTTCGAACATTTTTATTGAAGAACGCAAAAGAATGCATTTTAACAACAAAACAATATTCCATGAGATAAACAATAGCGATGAATAAAAACAAGACAAGAGCATTACAGAAAAAAAAGACGTATGCACACAAACAAGTAGTATTCATTCCATCGATTTATTTTTCCCTCTAGCATTTTCTTTTTTGTATCTCTCACTTCAGATTACGAATGATAGTAAGTGGCTCTTCACATATTTCTTCCGGTCTACGACATTTCACATCAAATACTTATTATTTGTCGGTTTTCTTTTAATATCATTTGATAATTCTTTAACGAGATGAGCAAAAGAAATCGACTTATGCTAATCATATATGTCCTTCTAAATATCTCATAACTTACCATTAACATTATAATGTCCATTCGATCTCATGCTGTTTCTTAAGAGATATGAATCGTCTTCCGGACTAAATTCTAAAGGAAAACAGAAAAAGTGAAATATTTGCATTTAATAGGTTTAACAAAAGCAAAAATAATGCAGTGGTAAAGGAATTGATTAGATAAGCAAGGATAATTAAGAAATACAGGGGTTTTATAGAGTAGAATACCCGAAACAGAACGACATGTATAATATGAATCAACAGAATCACGATGATCAGATACATCATGCCAATTAAACTCTGGAAGTATAAATAAATAGGAATGAAATCCTTGTTCTTTGTTGAATATCAAAAAGAATTATTTTTGAACCTACGTTTTGATTCGATATCTGTTGACGCTGTTGTAGTTTCACCAAATAAAAATGAACCTAAAATATATATTACTTTCATAGGATAATTAAAAATATAATTAATTTACGTAGAATGTTCATAATATTAACAAATTGTCATCATAAAAAATAATATTAACATAGTCAAATTAAAAGCTGATAAAAAAAGAAATAAATAAAATTTGAATAAACAATCATTGTTATTACCAATCTCAGGTGTGAATGGACTTAGAAATCGGATTGATGAGTCATTAACTAATAAATAGATAATAATTAAAAATGAATAAATCAATATTTGATATATTCAGTTAAGTATTATTTATTCTAGATAAAATTAATAACGCTATATTGAATGTGACAGATGGTACCAACCACATTCTTCTTCTCAAAGAACCGTGATTAATTTCTTTCTATGTCTATAGAAATATTAATCAGAAGATGGCGTGAAACGATGGTTCAAAAATAAACAACACCTATCGTTCTTTTTTTATTCCTTATCATTCTTCTTCACAAAAAACATACATAAATGAATTTCTACATTTAATTCGATTCTTCTTTAATCTGCCATAGAAAACCAAACAATTTATTAATTATATGTATTTGACACATTCTTGTGAATCTCAAGGGACTACTATTTGCTTTGTTTTACAATAAATGTATTTGCTGACTGCTAAGTATATAATGACTTATTCAAACATCATAAATATCCTTAAGTAGCCGAAACTCGATACTAACATGATATGAATTCGTGTGCAAAGCATTTCACGTCAGCAAAAATAGATAGAATACCAAGATAATTGTGACATAAAATGATAACCTTTGATACATTATTTATCGTCAGCTGTTTTTGCATCTGTAGAACATTTATTAATAGAGAATGGCATCTAATTTTTCTTTGCTTTAATTATATTGAAATAGGAGAAAAACAAAGTCTTTTTCGAATGTATCCTACAAATAAACTAAATCATGCATTGAAAATCCGAAAATGACAAATTTGATGACTACTTTAAAACTAAATATTATTGAATTAATGCATATGATATTTAAATTTTTAAAAATATTCTTTTTCAATTTCAACATTCTTTTTCTATCAATAAAATATATTCTTAAGATGGTATTTTTTTATTTCAATTTAATAGAAATCAACAACTCTGTGTCGTGAAAAATTGTAATTTTAGATTTCTTTTTCACAATGAAAGAAAAAATTCATTTATTTAACATTACATTAAATTAAATTATATTAATTACATCAATCTATTTGTACACAAAGTCTTCAATTTTTTCATTGAGTTAAACTATAATATACTGTACTTAAGTTGAAACATTAAATAATCAAAAGAAACATTTTATGTATTGTGAAGAAGATCAAAGTTTGCTTCTTACAATTTTTTAACTCTTACCTAAATATGTGTAGAGATAATATTGTTCAAATATCATTGATATTTTAGTCAAAAATTGAAAATACTAAATAATTTTTACATTGAATTTGTTTCATCTGAATAATACCATTATTTACACATATTTTTATATTTGTTATCTCTTCACTGATCTGTGGATGTGAAGACAAATCCATATATACATTTCTACTATTATTACTACTTTTCTTTCAAAAAGAATCTATTTTCATATTTATTATTTATTTTGTGTAAGATTGATTAAAAACAATAAGTTTTACATAAAACTGTTCATTCTTTTGACAGAGACAACATGATCAATGAGAAACTGGAGCATTGATCATTGAATTAAACATTCTTTACTGCTAACGACAGTAGACGAGTTCTTATTGCTTGAGTTATTTTTATTCTTCTTCATATCAGATGACGGTGACAATTGTTTCTCGTTCAATTTAGCAATGTCTGCTTCACCTCTCTTCACCGTTTCATGTTCTGGTCCATAATTAGCTCGATAGATCGAAAGACTTTCATTGAAATAACGAAGTGCTTCGGATAAGTTGTTCATGTTTTCATAATCTAGGCCAATATTTCTTAAACTTATTGCGATGTAAGTGTGGTCAGATGACAATGTTTGACGATATAGCTGAAGTGCTTTAAGGTCACATCGTAATGCATCTTCTCTCATATCATACTTGGAATATAAACAACCCATTGATATCAAGCAACTAGAGGTGACTTGGTAATCAGATGATGTGCAATTCTCTAATACAGATAGAGCTTGTTCATAGTATTGTAATGCTTCGTTGGGATTGTCGTCCCTAATTAAGTTAGCCATTATCATTAATGTCCGAGCAATGCAAGAATGATTTTCACCCAATCTAGTTTTTTGAATAAGAAGTTTTTGTTGACACAAGTCTAAGGCTTTGCCAATCTCATTCATCTTTTTATAAGTATCAATGATCCAACCGAGATGATTTGAAAGATTGTAATGCTCGAAAGGTAAACATTGTTCTTCCATATTTAATTGTTGTTGATAATAATCCAGAGCAATATCTAAATTACGTTTCTTCTCATGAGCATATCCTATCATACCGAGACATGTTGCTATATGAGAGTGTTGATCAGGGAGAACATGTTTATACATCTCGAGAGCACGAGATAAATAAGTAAGAGCCGTATCAGAATCTTCTTTATCCATGTATACTCCCCCAATATTTCCGATTGTATCTGCTTTTTGTAGATTATTACCAGGATATAAATTTTCCTCAATTTTCAAAGCCTGTTGATAATAATCGAGTGCTGTATTAGAGTCACCTTTTGCTTTATAAATACCACCAATATTGTAGAGTGAACCAGCAATGTGAGGATGATTTGAAGGCAATTGTTTTCGACGCATCTCATAAGCTATCTCTAAGTTTTTCAATGCTAAATTTAATTCATTTCTCTTCTCATGTACTGCACCAATATTATTATGAACAGCTGCAATATCAGGATGGTCATGTGGAAGTGATTTCAGTAACATATTAAAATATTTTCCTGCACGATCTACTTGACCTAATTCATTCAAGAGAAGGCTACCAAAATAAATAAGTGGTGAGCATCCTTCCATTGCTTGTTTCGATAATAAAAGATATTCTTCAACTTTTTCTGAACCTTCATCAGTTGCATTCAATTCTACTTTCCATACAGTAAGTTTAGAATCAAAACAAACAGAAACAATCTTAAAGAGTGAATTGAGATTGAACAGAACTTCTTCTTCACCTTTTATTCGACTTTTATCTCCAACATCAGCAAAAATTATTGTTTTCAATAATGGATTTGCTTTAATTTCAAATAGAACCGATGGAAAATCATTTGATTGAGCATTCATATGAATAAATCCAAGTGATACATTGATATTTCGTGATGTTGATAAAAATCCATTTGTTGAAATAGTTTTACCAACATTTTCTTTTATTTTTTCAAATTCTTCTTTTGGAATTTGTGTTCCACGATACAAAGTCAATGTTTCTTTATTTTTTAAAAGATGATTTTCTTGTTCAATAGCTGAACATAAATCAATAATAAAGAATCGAAAAGTAAAGAGTAATTCGATATCTTCAGTTCGAAGTGCTTTATTTAATAGTTTATAAAGAAAACATTCATCTGTATACCATTCAATTGCTTTGCCACGAGTATAAGTATTCTGAAATTCTTCAATCTTTTGTAATTCTTGTTTATTCTTTTTATAATAATCACGACACATATCGAGCATTTGTTTTTTTGATTGTTGATCTTGTGACGTTTGTTTTAGAACATAAATTAACATTTGATGTAATAGAAATGATGCTGATTCTTGTGATAAATCTCTCAGTGACTTTTGCTTTTGATCAAAAAGACTAAATGTTAATGTTTGTTTTTCAACTAGATTCATTTTTTCTTTAATTGATGCTAATAAATCATGTTGATCAGTAAATATTCCAATAATTTTATTATATTCTTTCATCAATGGTTTATAACGTTGATGGTTAGAACAAAAAATAAAGATAGAAACCAAAGATCGATAATGATGACTTTGTAAAAGTATACGTTGAGCAAGAGCACCTGAAACAATAAGAAGTATTTGTTCATATTTGATTGGTTTGATTAAATCGAGACATCGATCAAAATCAGAATAAAACTGAACAGCTGGATTGAGTTCAATTAACATTGATTGTGTGAGATGATAATCATCTGAATCATTCATATTTTCATCAAGCCAAATCAATTGAATATCTTCTTTGTTATCTGAAACTTCGTTTGGAAGAAGATTCTGTCGTCTTTCGTTCAAGGATTCACTAGTAGCCATTATAACTGATAATCACTCTATTATTACCTTGAAAATTCTCAATAAAAATATTTTATTTCTGAGGCTTTTTATTTTGAGTGTTCAAGAAGCAAAACATTTTTTTCTTTCTACTTTTTTTCCAACGTCGTCTAACGAATAAAATTGGAGAAAGTGTCATATTAAAAGTGTTTCCAGCTGTTCTGTGAAAGTAGGTGTGGCACTATTACTTTTTCCCGGAAAGAAATATTTTATTCTATTTTTTTTCTTTTTTGATTACTCTACGTCAATATACTACACATTTATAGTGGGAAAAGCCTTCCACTGGCATGTCACGAATGTATAGTATCACACTCATGCATCTATATTAGCAATATATATATATATATTGTATAGATAATTTTAAAAATAATAAACATTAGCTATTTTATTGCATATTTTCATACACTGCTTAGACTATATAATCTTTGTGACTCGAGATGAATCGCACCCAAATAGTTTGATTTGATGCTCTACATGTAATGGAAGATACTTGTACCTCACTTTGTAAGTAGAAGGGGGTCGAACGTACAGTAAAAAGGGTAATATCTTTACTATATAGCACTATGCCTATGTTTATTTGTTTATTTGAAATGAAAATATAGAAAGAGCTGATAACACAATCTTTTTGGGATTAAAATATGAAACACGATTTAACTTTTAGTACTGATGACCAAGAAATAGATTAATTTTATAAATTTCAATCGCATTTTCACATCACATATTTTTTATGCTTCAGCGTTCAGAAATCAAACAATAATCAAATGTAATATTTTACTCTTGATATTTCTTTAGTGCAAATCTAAACCTACAATTTGCGTCGTCAATTATTGTAGAGAATATCATCACATTATTTTTTGTTTTCATTCAGAATGTTCGGTAACATTATAAAGAAAAAGCCTTGTCATGTAATTCTTATAACAGATGGTGTGGATGTATTCGAAACAGCTCGATTTAATGATACAAAAAAACCGAATATGTACCTATTTGTAATTAAATTATCTATCGCGTCATTCAACTGCAAAATAATGACAGATATACAAGGATGTATTAATATCTTTATGTGTTTTTTCTTCATTCTTAGGTACATTTTTACCCAAAGGCATTCGATGTGTATATAACTTCGCGAAAACAAAATAATTTATCTATATAATTCTATTTCAGAATATCGTAAACTAAGAACATGCTATTATAACAAACTACCGTATGTATGTCATGACTCTCTTTTACACAAAAATATATATACATGATGCAGTGCAACTTATTACCTTATTGAAACAAATCATTTCTCTAGTTATTTATTCTTTTAGATTGAATTATGAATACATTACGCATGCTTTGTTTACTCATCGCTACAATTAGTATGCTTGTACTAAATAGTATGTATATTAATATGTAATAGTTACTTTTAATTTAACCATTCGTAATTCTTTAAGGTGCAGCACTCACTTGCAAAGATGGGCAAAAAGTTTTTATACGCGGTAGTATTACATTTCCTGATAGTCCTAAAACTGTCATTGAATCTGACGCTAAATTAACTGTAGAATTACAAGATATAGCACATGCTGATGCTGCAGCTAAAGTTATTACTAAAGTAGTCGATGATATAGCTGAGTTTCCAAAAGAATTTACTATTAAATTTTTACCTTCACAAATTACAGAAGGACATCGTTATTCACTTAGTGTGTCTATTCGAAATAAAAAGAATGAATTATTATATATCAATGATGTAATTGCTCAAGTAACACCATTAGGTACTGGTCGTACTAAATATATTGATGTACCTGTCATACTTATTAAAAGTAAGTCAATAAAATTATTGAAACTGATTTATTAGAATTTATTTATATCTCCAGAAACAACTCCTGCGACTAGCAAACAGCAATGGCCTGAATTAGTTGGTAAAAAAGGTGAAGATGCAGTTAAAATAATCAAGCAAGAAACAGGTAAAATTTTAATAATGTAGAAAGGAATTGATTTTTCAAAAATTACATTAGGATTTACAAATGTTGTAACAGTTCAACAAGGATCACCAGTGACAATGGATTTTCGTACAGATCGTGTCCGTGTTATCATTACTGATAAAGGTATTGTTGCAAGTACCCCAACAATTGGTTAAATAATAACAAATACGAGATTTTAATCTCAATTATTCATCTAAACATAAAAACTCATAAGAATAATCTATAGTTTTCTCTCGCTATTCACTAAATAAAATTCTTCTATGAATTGAAGCATTAATTTGAAGATATTACTGTTTTTATTTAACAAATTTATTGTAATAAAATTTCACTTATGCAATGATGAAAATCTATAATACTAAATCAGTTCGGAAAAAAAATACTCAGTAATGTCATAGTGTATCTTGTTCTAATTCTTATATTCTATATGATAATAGAGCTTAAATTTATCTTCATTTATTTATCGGATAAAAAGAATGACATCAATTAGCTGACGTCTTCTTCTTTCCAAATAATAAAAAGTTGTGTAAAATGTTGTTATCAATCTCACATGTGCTAATTTTTGATTTACTTAATTTGTTACAATAAGTGATCTGCTCATATTAGAACATATAATATAATAACCATATTTAACGGATAGTAGAATAACTCATAACGTGCCATAGAAACTATTGTAACCAACTTATTTAAAAAACATTCATAGTGACAAAAAGAATTCTGCTGTATCTTTGAATTAGCAGTGTGATCTGCGAGTAGATGACTTTTACACAGACTTGAAATGATGAATCAATTATAATACTTATTTACAACAGCAGTTCATATCTATACACAAGTTATTATTTCAATTGTGCATCTTGTGCTACATTGAAATATATACTGCTCTCTTATGATAGAATTCTTATTTCTTTGCCATTCAAAGATCAAAAATATTTTTCTAAAAATTCTCATTTCTGCTAATGAACTATGAGAACAATAAGTACGTTTAGGAGAAGCCCATGATCCGTGCAAAACTATCGATTATTAAAATAATATTGCTTTGTTTTAAAAGAAGTGTTGATGAAATGACAGTACAAAATAAGTGAGTTCAACTAAAAAACTTCGGTTCACATACGTCAAATAGTTATCACTTCAGATGATTAGCCGTCAAATTTATTATCGGACCACATTCCATCTTGCACGACACCATTGGCATATATCATTTTACCTTTTCCATGTTTTTTGTTGTCTTTATATTGTCCCTCATACCGATTACCATTAGCAAACATGTAGACACCTTGACCTGTTCTTTTGTCGTCGATATAATCACCTGTGTATTTATCGCCACTAGCAAAATCCATTTTACCTTTACCATGCATATCGTTGTCTTTCCATTGTCCCTCGTACCGATCACCACTGGGAAAATTGTAGACACCTTGACCTGTTCTGTTGCCTTCGATATAATCACCTGTGTATTTAGCGCCACTAGCAAAATACATTTTACCTTTCCCATGCCGCTTGTTGTCTTTGAACTCTCCCTCGTACCGGTTACCATTAGCATAAATGTAGACACCTTGACCTGTTCTTTTGTCGTCGATATAATCACCTGTGTATTTATCGCCATTGGCAAAATCCATTTGACCTTTTCCATGAACAAGATTGTCTTTGAATTGTCCCTCGTATCGATCACCATTATTAAATATGTAGACACCTTGACCTATTCTGTTGCCTTCCACCCACATACCTATGTATTTACCACCATTCGCATAATCCATCTGACCTTTACCATGTTTTTTCTCTCCTTTCATTTCTCCTTCATGTTCATTCGCTAATGACGTGTTCTTTACACATTTGACTAAGATAAAGTAACTTGGTCACTATAGTATATGAACCACTGTTTCGTATCTATGACCCCATTCATCAGTATGAATATGTATCTGTGAAGATTGAACATTAGTCAGTGTATGGGTGGATGTAGTATTCGATGTTGTTGTCACTGTCATCGTTTTAAGACCTGCTGACAGTGATCCTTCGTCATCGTCAGTAATTTCTTGCAAATGGATCAGATGCATCGGTGGTTGATCTAAAGGATCACTAACAACACGAAATCGTGTACCTGGACAAAGAATGACTTCATCTTCATTTGGATAATTGGTACAACTTGAAACATCTTTTCCACTGATTGCTTCAATTAAGAATAAGGTTGAATTTGGTCCAAGAAAATCCTTGATAATATTAACAGAAGTCGAACATGAACTGATCGTCCACCATGTAAATTCATCGCCCTTCTTATAGTTTCTTGTTATATCTTTCGAAACACCACGCCAAAGATTCTTTCGAACAGTTGGTAGCTTTTGTACTGCTACATCGAATAGCTTGAGATAAGCGAACCACGGTTTTAATGCTGATCGATCTTCAGCACGTAGTGCACGATTAAGTACTTGATAGAAACTGTTTTCTCCCCATTCCATTGTATAAAGATAAACAGCAGCTGACTCGTCACGAGTAAGTCCATGTTGGGAAGGAAAATGACACTCATTTTTCGCAATTTTGGCAAAACGATCTAGCTGATCAATTAACGAGGAGATTGGTTCGAGAGCTTTTGATAGAGGTACTAGTTGATGAGTCAAGTAGCCGTAGACAGGTGGTAGTCGCTTTGACGTTGATTCGATATCAGTAAAGCGGTGCATCTTAAATGAATTATGATTGGTTGAATTTATATAATCGTCTCAAAAGAAAAATAATTGAGACAGTTATTTTATACTTTGGTAGTAGTGAAATTGATTTTAAAGTAAAGAGCCTGCCTTCTTTGTGTCAAGTTTTAAAGCGTCGATTCTTTTTCTTCCTCGAAAGAAAGATAAAAGTCTCTTGTGCTTTGTATGTATAGCATATTTGCGCTTCTTTAGTTATATGACAAGTCGATTTTAATATACGCAGATAAAAAAAGCAACGAAAGACATCATGAAGAGAATTTTTACTGCAGGTCGCACATTAAGATAAAATGTGTTGCATGTATCTTCTGTAAATTTTTATATCTTATCAACGCTGATAAGACCATGTTATTTTTTTTCCATCTTAAAAAATGTGTCGCAAAATTAGGTAGTTTTAGTAGTTTAGCTATATGTGATTAGCCAAACAATAACTGTTATAATAATTTAGATGATCCATCAATCTCTTGTTATCATACTGCCAGAAGTGTGTAGGTGCATGTGTTGCTACTTATATCATTTCAAACCCGCACTTACACCCATTCCGTCAAAAATGCCGTTTAAAATTGAACATTTAATTTGTTTATATATTTAAAAAGAAAATTTGTGAATGGAAGAGCGCGGAAAAGACTTTCTTTGTTATTGAGTGAAGAATGAAATTTGATATTTTATTTGAAAATTTCTTCTTTTAACAAAATGATGTTGGAATTTTTTTGTTTTGAAATCGAATATTTATTTGAAGAAAAGTTAATTTCGAATATGATCTTGTTCATTGAAATTTAAAATGTTTTATTAATTCTTCGAAAAAGAATATTTTTATAAAAATAGTAAAGTATCAGTGATAGACCTATAAGATATTCACTTAATTCTCGTGTTCGATTAGACAACAATATCACAACAGGAAATCAATCAGATAAATATATTTATAGCCAAAAATTAGTTTTTATAATTGCAAGACCGTCTTGAAGATGAGTGTGGAATAAATACAAGACTAGTCCACCCACACTCACATCCATACCCTCGAACGATTCTTAAAAATACTAATTCATCTCTTCAAAAAACTTCAGGATTATCAATAAGTAATTGGCGCCCTCTACTCTTGAGATTTCTTATTGAAACGAATATAATACCTCTCACTTCGTTTATATAAACTGATTGTCGTTATACTTGTAGTGATTATTATTGTCATTCTTCACAAAGTCTGATCTTTTCTTAAATAAATTGCATATAAATTTTTAAAAAAGACATAATTTTCTTTTACAGAAACAGTTTAGTAAAAATTCAGATTATCAATCATTATAGAATTCTTTATTATGGCTGAAGGTTATGATTTTCTTCGATTTTGTATGTAAATTTTCTTTATATGAATGATACTATCTATATATTTATAGTATTTACAAAATATTCCGAATCAGAATATCTAACAGAAGCTTGGACACCAATTCATGAAACTCTCAAACAATTTCTTCAAAATTCAAGTGAAAATTTTCAATCAATGTCCTATCAAACTATTTATTGGTGAAAAAAAATTAAATAAGAAATTTTTAATTGAATATCTATTTTAAATTCTAGTCAGATATATAAAAGCACATGTAAAGGTTACAAAGAACGACTTTTTGATGATCTTAAGAAGCTCATTATAGAACATTGTCAGAATATTAAAGTACAATTAGATGAAAGTGTAAGATTTTACAAAAACTATATGTTCAAAATGAAAATTTAATTAAAAATTTATTAGATGAAAAGAATGATCGATGATCGTTCCAATCGACATAAGAATATTTATATTCTACAATTTATTAATTATCTTCATCAATTTCAACGAGCGATCGATGTCATTGCTCCACTTTTTGTAAGAAGTCTTTTTTCAAATTTATTTTGTTGACTTTTTTTTT